CGAACTCGTCCAGATGCTCCTAAACGAAATTAGCATTTTTTCATTGACTCTTGCGTTTGAAGGGAAAGAATTCAATAATTTAAAGCAAACCCACATCGTCAAAACGATATCCAAAAAGTATATTGTTAATGATAGACCCGACGGCGATGTCGAATTCGGACTAAATTTTCGGTTTTCTCGGTAACTTAGGGTTTTCCACCTGCATGTTGACGTTTTTTGGGTTTTTCGCAAGTCGTTCGAGCATAATCTCGACCTCGATCATTGCCTAAAGATACTGTAGAAAATTTAATTCTATAATTTCCGGTTTTTATCGCATTATCAAGCGAGGACTCGATTGAAAATTTATATGTTTTTATGTTATAGCTTACCCGCTCTTCCATGATATTTCTTCCCATTCCAAAATCACGCAGCGTGTGAATTGTCAAGCTTAAAAAGCATAACTAATTTTTATTGAGCCGTTTTTACCGTCTCTGGTCCCTCCAAAGGGCTCCTTCTGAGAAAATGACTCCATAATCTCCACCTAAACAAAAAATGACATAAGTTTAAAGCATTAAGAAATCGATACCTCGGAAATCCTTGTTGAAGGGCTTGAAAAACCAGCGGTCGACGTATTTCTCGCCGTCCTTGATCACCGTCTCTTTGATTGTTTCGTAGTCCGAGATGGCGATCACGGGCATTGTGCCTTAAAAAAGAGCGTAATCGATTTGGCTTTAGCACTACTTCTAGCTTTTTTATAAATCGATACTTTTCATGCTCTCACGGTATCACGTGGCATAATTTAATTCCGGGCTGCAAAACGGATTGGACAAAATCTAGGCGAGCATTCAGCCTATCATTAATGCCGCGATACCTCCATATTAAGCATTAATTAAAACTTCTATTAATTAAGATATACTCACCAAACCAATAGGTATGCACAGGCCCGTATTTCTTATGCCAATCGCGGTAAGCCTCGTAGCAATTGGATTTGAAGCGGATTTCGAGGAGATTTCCGAACAGTGGTAGAGGTGTGGGGCCTAAGATGAAAAGTATACGTCAAGTTTGGTGATTCAAATTCTGGATGGCGAATTCAACTCACCTGGAGGAAGGTTTCGTCGTTTCCAGTAAAATTCGTTAAAGAGGTACAACACTGAGGCTAGTCCGATAAGGAGAAGAAGCATGTCTGAAAGCTAGATATAAGAAAGCGCTGTTCGATAAAAATGGTATTAAAAAAGTAAAATTTAAAAAAGCAACTGAATGGACTTGGAAACAGGGGTGACGTTTTGAAAGTGAGATTGGCTTGCCCCTAAAAAGGGGGCGATCGGAAAAACGGAAAAGATAATCGCGCACTGCAGTGGTCGGCTCGTTCACTGGGTTTTGCGTTTCCGAGCATGGGTTTTGAACCGGAAACTTCTATGCCAGATTTCGAGTGTGGTCGTCTGAAGATAAAACGGTGATAGCCTCTCAAAAACAATGCACAAAAATTTAACCCAAGTTAGGTTGTAATTTCGGTTTTGTGCGAGCCATGCAGAATTTACAGGAAAGCGATTTGGCGGCACTGGGAGCCCAATAAAATAGCCGTCCGAAGCGAATTGGCGTTTCGCACCGGCCTCGTCAAACTTTTTATTGGGTCAACGAAAACTGGTTTGGACTGTTTGTTTGATTTTACAAGAAAAACAGGAGACAGCTACCAGAAAACCAACAAATAAAACAACGTCAAGAACTGGAATCAACGCAAAGCTTATAAAGTTCGAAAAACACAACAGGTAAGTGACAGGGTCGGTTTTAGAGCAATCAAAAAGATAGAACAAAAATCTAAAATCTCGTAAAGCTCGAAAACTGATACGTGCGGGGGAAGCAATTTCCCGATTATCCACTTCGTTGACCGACCAAATTGTCGAGTCACAGTGCTCTGCTAAAACGTGCTCTTTTAAGCTGCGCACTGTGGCCTTGGAGTGGCTACAGAACAATCGCAAACATTTTGGAAACATTGTGCAATCTTGTGGATTGGCTCAGGAGAAAACCCTGATCTTCATTATCAACTGGTCCAAATTTTATTAATAGTTTATTGAATTTCATTATGTTCTTAAACTTCAAAAGGCCGCTTATGCTTGATTTAATCTGAAGAAAAGACGAAATCGAAATGACCAAAGGGTGCCTGGCGCCACTTCCTTAAATCCACATCCGCAATCAGCAATCTCGGCAGCAGATAATGACCGGCGAGAGCGTTTCGCTGTTTTCCCGGCGGCCCCTGACCAATCTGGCGGCTTATCAATTTACCCACCAGTGCAATTTTGTGCTAAAATGTGCAGATTCACGCCGCCGGGTCATAGTTTCGTAGTGGCCAAGGCACTCGGCACGTTGCCTTTTAGGTATATTGGTAGTTGCCGGTGTTTGAGTTCATGGTGGATTTTTCTGCAGATTTCAAGTTTCGGCAAGTAATAATTTCTTCGTTATTTATGTTTAATATTTTCATATTATTTGCTTTATCTTCCATTTTCTGGTCATTTAGTTTAATTTACTGCCAAATTCATTATTTTCCAGAATCATTCGACCATGTCTTCACCGTGGTGACCTGTTGCTTTTTAAATGTTGGCGGTCGCATGAAGATTAGGGCTACCAATCTGAAAAATTGGGTCCATTATTCGAATTTTGTCTCAATTAAATATAATTTTTGAGATAAAACGTGGTTAAAAAAACGCTGTGCTATGCTGATGTAATCACACTCCTACCCCACGCCCAGATTGGCCATAATCTGCCTAGAAAACGATAATAGCGCCATGATGATGTAGAGCATATTTGCTCTAGTGGTCGGCAGTAGAAAGATCGTCACAATTAGGGATATATCATTTGCGAAAAGATCTTCGAACGTTGCGAAAAAGAGCTGTAAATAAAAAATGAAGTTTTAACATTTTCACGCTTTGTACCGTAATTAGCAGCACCCGCTCGCCTTTGGAACTTTGGCCCTCGTTTTGCTAAATAGGAAATAATTAAAATAAATTTTGGTTAGAGTGCAGTTTACCCCCCCCCCCCCCAGCCGGCCCCAACGTTTGTATCTCGGCTCCCTGTTCATTTACAGGTGTGTTAAGTATACCAAAATGTTCGTCTTGCTCTGGCGAGTATTTTCGTGTAGATAAGATACACCTGTAGATGAACAGGGAGCCGAAATACGGTAGGCGGGAGTCGGCTGGGGAGGGGGGGTAAACTGCACTTAAGCCTAAATTTTACACAGTTACAAGTCTAGATTCCTGTATATTTGTTTTTATCTATTACCTTACGATACTTGTAGATCGTCAGCGCTTGGAAAGCAAATGTGAGGCAGCCTGCCACCTGCTCGACAATGAAAATATACCACTCGTTGGCAAATGGAAAATAGTCATTCAGCGCTTGATAGCCAGCCCCAAAAATATAGGGCAGCACAAGTTGAACCCATGGCCATTTTAAGGTATAGTGAAAGTAAATTCCATCGAAGGAGAGGGCTAGGAATCGGCTGAAAGCAGAAATTTTGCCTTGAAAACGCCTGTAAAACCCGAAATCACGGCTTCTCAGTTGTTTATGCAATTATCTCCTCAAACTAATAAAACAGCTATTTCTTAAAACTTACCAAAACGTCATCCAGTACCGCAACCACGGAACAACATATCGCAGCCATTTAATATAATGCAGGACCGTCGCATAGTCAAACTGTAGCCACCACAGCTCCGCGATTTCTTCATATTCGTAGCTAAAAATTGGCGCCTGACAACCGGGGCCGACGAGCCCAAGTTTACGCAGGCATAGGCCGCCATTAAAAATGCCGACCGTAGCCGACCCTTAGCTCAAAATGCTATCAGAGGGAAATGCCGACAGCAGAGATCAAATGTCGACAGCCAGAATGGCAAACAAGACCAAATCTCGACAGCCTTGACTTATCGTTTTGAAATGCCGACATTGTGTGAATTAACGGACCCAGGATTTTTCGCGTCGGTTTTTGGCTCACTGGACTTGTGCTGTCGGTATTTTAGATGCTGGTATTTCTACTGTCGATATTTCCCCATAATTCGACAACTCACACCAATATTAAAAGCGTGGGCATCGCGTTGAGCAAGGTAAACAAAAAGGTGAGGGCCAGGACGAGGAATTGGCTGGTGAAGAGGAGGCTATAAAGAATATTCAGCTTTGAGTTTTAGCGAAAAACCGTGTGGGTAAAGCCAAGGTTGTATTGAAGCCGATCGCAAAAGACGCTAGGATATTAATGAACGTAGCGGGGATCAGGGCCTAAAAATCGCAAAGTTTTAAAGGTGTGGCAATATGAGTTATAGCTTGAAATTCCGACGCGTCACTGTTAAAAAGCGAATGGGTTGCGTCTCACGCCCACTCACCACGATCGTCGCAACGATCCCGAAGAATATCAAAACCTTCTCGTCACCCGTAGTATCTTCTGAGAGACGGCCACCGCCGGCGAAGCTTGCTTGAGTCGATGTGATGATCGTAATTATCAACTGGAGGAGATAGAAGAAACCTAAAAAGTGATTTATGACCTTAACTTGTCTACCTTACCTGCCTTTAAAGCCGCCAAGATGACCACCGCGATAATCTCGATGGTATATCCACCAATTTCGATAGCCATAGGGCGGCTGTGTATATTTAAAATTTTATGGACCAGCGAAAGGAGCCAGGCCAACCTCCAAAGGTTGCCGAACGCCGAACAAATCCCGTTTGTGGTACCCGAAGAATTGATCACTAAGGTTGTGCCCAAAATTAATTTACTTCTTTAATCATTGATCTCGTAGATTGTGGGGACCTTTTCATGCGTGCAAACGACGAGAAAATCTCTCGCGGAAATGTTAGGGATCAAAGAAAATTGGGTTGCCTTGGAGAGAAGAAAGAGAGAGCCAAAAAATAACATATTCGGCATTTCGCAAACGCAATTCAAGTTATTATTCCAACATCACTTCTTTGAAAATGATTTTTTCATCAGGATCACAGCGATAAGCCTGAAATTTGACATTTGAATTTTCGACGCGAGTTAGTCCGGCTCACCCGGCGATCAAACTGAACAGTGTTTCCCGGAAATTCTTGATCAGCGTGATCACGCAGTATAGCGCTGTTTGTGGCAACACAGGTAGTAGAAAAATCACAATGATGAACTCAAACTCGCTGGCGAAGAGGTCATTGCAGGTGCAGAAGAAGAGCTGAAAACGGCGTTCCTCTCAAATAGCGGACCACCTACCGTAATCAGTAACGCGGTATCCGCCTCAGAGCCATTGTCTTTCTAAAAAGCATTGATACCCATCCCGATACCTTACTGTATTCATTAATTTGCTTCTTAGAAAATTATTCAAACACGTTTTGATCTGGCCCACCTCGCGATACTTATGAATCGTTATAAACTGAAAAGCAAAAATAATAGAGGTTGCGGCTAGCCGAATAAAAGGGAGAAGCCAAAAATCGAAGAATGGTATATAATCATTGAATGCCTGGTAGGCCAGCCCGAAAATATAAGGCAGAACGAGTTGAAACCAAGGCCGTTTCTGGGTATGTCGAAAATAGAGTCCATCGAATAAGAAAGACAGGTAAAAACTGAAAAAAGCTTTTAAGCTTTGTCACGTAATTAAAATTTGTCACGATTCATATTCGTTTTTTGCCGTTTTCAACGTGCAAAAAAATAAAAAAGATGAAGAGTACAAATATGCAAAAATAAATTAAAAAACTTAATAAAATCAACAATTACCAAAACACCATCCAATACTGTTGCCATGGGACGATGGCGCGTAGCCAATGAGCGTAATGTACCGCTTTTGCGTAATCGACCGATACCCAAGACCAAGTGAATACCCAAGCAGGTGGAAAACTAAAAAAAATTGGTTGGAACAATTTAAAATGGTCTAAAATAATCAAATTTACGGTTTCTTACAATCTACGCGACTTACAAGAGTATCAGCACCGTTGGTAACGCAGCTAGAAAATTGACGAGAAAATCGATACCTAGTGCTGTGAATTGACTGGCAAGAAGCAGACTTTAAAAGGATATATTTTGGTAATGGAATGTTTTACAGTATTTTATACCGGGTTGGTAAAGCCAATGTTGAATTTGTAGCGATAACAATAGCGGCAACAAAATTAATTAAAGCGGCAGGAGCGAACGCCTGAAATCACGTAAATAACGTTGTAAGACGTGAAACCAATCATCAAATTTTAGCAATTTTTATTAAACCCGTAAAACAGAGCGTAGATTGTTTTTTAAATCAAGGGAAACACAAAACTCACCACCATCCGGACGGCATCGCCGTAAAACAGCAAAATTTTCTCGTCTCCGGAGGTGTCTTGAGCCAGACTAGGGTCTATCATAAACGTAGCTCCAGTACCTCTTAGAATAATTATAATTAATTGCAGCAGGTAGTAGACGCCTGGAATTATTTTCGAATTGTAATTTGCATATCCAAGCCGAAAAATTGAGAAAATCTTTTTTTGCAGCAAAAAACGCACCAGCCTTGAGCCCCGCTAACAACACGATTGATAAGAATTCCGTCACATACTCGCTGAAGTCGATGGCCATCCTTTTCGACAAAAAAATCTGAAAAACCCTTGTCGACTCAGCGAATCTGTTGCTGACTTGGTCACGAAAATTCGATTATTGCCGACCGGATGCTATTATCCAAATTGCTAGAAATATTTCGGTGTTGCCGCCGCGAAAAGCTGATTATTGCTGAGTGTTGAAAACTCTGCGCCGGAAACAAACTAACAATTATAGCCGTGTGTACTGTAGACTGGAGTGAGAGAGCGACAGTGCGAGAGATAGACAGAGAGCCAGAGAGAGAGAAGAGAGAGATAGAGAGAGAGAGAGAGAGAAAGAGAGAGCGGGATGCAAATAAGTTGATGCTTTTATTTATTTCTCTCCCATTATCTACCCTTTTGTGCTACGCTTTCAACCACTCTCTCACCCTCCCTCTCTCTTTCTCTCTCTTTCTCTCACTCTCCCTCGCACTCTCTCTCTCGCTCTCTCTCCATAGATGTCCCTCTCGCTGTCTCTCTTTCCATCGCCGAATTGCGAACCTGGTACATTTCTTGCCGTAGTGAGCATCAAAGACCACAAACCTCAGCCCCATTTTTGGAAGCTATGAGTAACCCGGAACTTCGTACCCCACTTTACAGCTTTGTTACTATTTACGGTCATCCCCAGCATGTTGCACTTGCTGTGCCCGAAAAAGTGCCCGGAATCTGACTATAAATATGTATATTGGCGAATGCAGGGGGCGGAGCTTCAGCCCCGACACGGCGGTGGCACATCAAAAAACGGCATTTCCCAGCGCTGGGACTGAATATTTATTTCACGCTCTTGCGATGGTTGACGGATTGGAGATACTGGTGGGTTTGATATTAGTCATCACCGGAAAGTGGCGGAAACAGATCATATGAGCACGAAAAGGCAGATATCACATGCTCAGGGGCAAAACAGCCACAGATTTTTCCATTTTTCGGATAAATAGATGTTGAAAAAATACTTTTCCGAATTTCTTGGCATTGAGATTTTTGAATTTTCCAATTCGAAACGATTTACCCGTTTTTAGACATCTAAGTCGGAAATTGGCTGATTTTGACGTTTTCCTGCCATCGTAAAATACAAGAAAGAAAACTAAAACCATGAATCTCTTGAGTTTTGTGTAATTCTAAGTATCATATTATTCTATTTTTTTCTATTGCTATAAAAAGATAGTTTTTGCAACTGTTTCTTGCGACAACTGACTTACATGTTAGACGCAAAATTTTGATCTAACTTTTTTATGAATATACATAGAAAATTTTCCATGTCTTGATTTACCCGATTTTTTGTGTAATATAGAATTTTCGTTTGTTCCACATATTTTTCATTATGTAAATTTTGCCTTTTAGCACGCACCAAATACTACTACAACCCGCCTTCTACAGAACCCATTTGACGCCGGGATATGGTCAAATTACACCCGAGATTTTAAGGAAACCGAGACACCCCCGGCATGGCAGAGTAAGTTGAGCTTTGAACCTTGTTTCTCGGCTATCAAGCTTTCTCTTTGCGCCGGAAAAGGGCGAATTTCGGGTTTCGGCAAAAAAGGCGTCGCAGGAACATATCGATTATGAATAATGCATTTTCTGGCCGTCTGTTCACCGTATTTTCTCATTTTTTTTTGGGAAATATCATGCAAAAATCGTAAGATAAAAATCTTTATGCCTTCTATGAAATGAAATGTCTAATATTAACTAACGGCTCTTTTTCTTTATTTTTTTTATTTGACAGAAAAATCGCAATTCTAGATTCAGACGAGCATCATAGTTCACGATTTTGGCCCCATTTTGCACTCGCTAGTTTAGCATAATCTTTTTTGCCTGTCACCTACTTGTTGTTATTTCTGGAATAACAAAAACCGGTACCCTAAAACCTCACCGATATGGAGTATCGTGGCGTAGCCCTGGCGCCCCAGGTCGACGCAAGTTTTCCGAACCCCGATGTAAAAATTATGCAAATTTGACCCCGGCGGGTCAGCTTCTCCTCCCTCACCTAAATCGGAAAAGCCGAATGGAGAAGCGGATTAAATGCTGGAGTTCGAAAATCTGACCCCCTAGTTTTTGGGAAGCGGAACTTTTGAACCCGGGAAGGTGGGGGGGGGGGGGATTTGCAGACCGCACCTACGTCCGGCTATTCAAAAAACGGCTTAAAAATTACACAATTCCACAAAAAATACCTTAAGCCGCAAATTTACGTTCATCGTTTTAAACTAAACGTAAGTAAAACCGTAATTTGCAAATTGCCATACTCCAGAAATTACCGTAACCCGGTCATTAGCGTAATTTGGAAACTGCCGTAACTCGGAAAGCCCCGGTAGTTTTGAGTGGGCCGTGGTCCGGGAAATTACCGGGATCCGGAACCTCCCATGGTCCGCCAAATACCGTAATCCGGACATTACTGTATCACGGGAGCAACCTACATTTGAAAAATACCGTAATCCGGAAGCCACCGTAATTTGAAAGCCACCATAATCCGGACGTTACCTAACAGCGAACGCAAAAACTCGTGCATTTATTATTTAGTTTTTAAATGAAAAATCACATTTTAAAATTAGGCAAATCAGTAGCCAAAAATTATTAGGTATAGAGTAGCGTAAAGCAAGGTGTCTACTGAACTTTGCATCTTGTTCCCTTGCTCGTTCTCTGCGGGATCCCAAGTGCGAAATCGCGACATGCGAAAAAATTTGGGGAACATGGGCCCGAGTTCTCACGCTGACGCACCTTGCATTGCATTGTTGCGGATTTGGGGAAGTGTTCGCGGCGGGCGCGGAAAATAGTGCCGCATCGGGCGTCATCCCGTAAATAAACCAATAAAACGTATGCTGGTCAAAAATCGTAGAACACGTCTGGCAAAAAAGGAACAAAAGTTGGTGGTATATTAAGAAAAAAAATCCGCGCAAGCGTATTAAAGTATATATTAGGTTGGTCGGAAAGTAACTAGAACTTTTCGAAGCAGAAAATTTTAAGGAAAGAAGCATTGTTTCGCTTCGATATTTTGCTGAGTGGGAGGTCATATGTTCTAGTATTTTCGGTTAAAATATCAGCATCGAACTCCTTAAACGTGCTGAGCTAGAGATCAAAGAACGCGCATCAGGTGAATTCTGGTTTTTTTCGTTTTCGAGAGTACTGCGCCCACCGATCTGACTAACCATTTTTTCCAAAGCGTCAGTTTTGTAGAGGAAAGTTTGCACTACAGACCAGTCAACACTAGAAATCTGACTTCGGCCTCTTTAAATTTTCCTAGGTCAATCCAAAAAGATGTCGAAATGGGGTTAGAGGCGCCAAAACCGTATTCCCTTCTTCGACCGTTTTATTCCTATCGCGTGGGTAATTTTTTAAGCCGTTGCGACCGAGTAAAGCCTAGATGCCCCCGCATAGAACAAACAACAGTTCTCCGAGGAAAAGGTTTACATCTCGGAAAAAGGAGGAAGATATCACGATTTTAGGCCCAGTTAGCTGTTATGATTTTTCGACCAGTCTCTTAAGCTTTTGGGTTATAATATTTTGCCGGCAGTACCCACTGGCAAGAGGCTATCATACCATAATACAAAAAGAATTCTAGGCTTGTGCAGAAAAAAGCAAGAATGGAAGTTCAAGGATACCTTCGGGTCTCAAGCTCGGTCATTAAGTCATATAATAATTTTCAAATTTTTTAAAAACCCTCAGTCAATGCGGGTTTTAGACAGTTGCATGATGTTGCCACTACTGTGCTTCTTCGAATCCATGGCCTACATCGGCAGATTATTTAGGCATCTAATTTATGCGAAGCTTCGAGTCCGAAACACTCGGTCATCAGTTTTTGTTTCAAAGAAACTAGAAAATTCGCTGAAACTAAACTATGATGCGGAATCCAGCACGGTGTTTCGAAAGAGCGTCCCTTGGCACTGCATCATGTTTAACGCCTTTCGCGCAGTTGCGTTTTTTGAATATTTCTGCGGCCGAAAAGTTTGGGGGCTCGCGAATGTCCGCGCGTCGGGTTCTTGGGCGCCCCAAGGAAAATCGTTAGAAATACAAGTACAGAGGTGGGATCCTCCAGATGTTTTTAGCGTCAATAGCAGACACATAGGGCTTTCTGGTGTAGGTTACAGCTAGTCTCTCGACGCTCTAGATAATTAAAGAAAAATTGCCGAAAAAAATTCTAGTTACTTTCCGACCAACCTAATATGATCTTAAATCATACAGGACAACAAAAACAATAATAATACGATTCATTCACTCTAGTACGTTTCCACTGAATTTCGAAAAGTTTAAATTCATTAAACCTATTTTTTTTGTAGCATGGCTCTTCGGGATGCTAATCATCAGCGGTTGCTCATTTTCGGCCCCACTTGGCATCCTGTTAATGCCGCTGTTCAGCAAGAGGCTTTATGAGAGGATTATGACCTTCTTAATCGCGCTTGGCATAGGTATGTAAATAGTAGCTTAATGGAAGCATACGTTAAACTCGTTGCAAAATCTGATTTAGGTGCCCTCACCGGTTCCACGATGTTCGTGATGATACCACAGGTAAAGTTGGCTTCAACAATCAAAAAAATGATGCGTCATTACCTCCTGAAAATAAAATATTTCGAGAAAAAATTCAATAAACACCTACAAACTAAAAAAAAATTTTGGGTTTGAATTGTCTAAAGAAGATCATTTAGGCCTTCAGCCTGGTCGAGCTCGGGCCGGAAAATGACGATAAAGTCAAGTGCTGGATCATCATCTGCGCATTGTACGCGTTCTTGGCTGTGGACCGTATTTTAATGTATGGTATCTTGGTGAAAAAGGTCATAGTCCTCCTAAGATGTCGAAAATGAATTTAGAAACGCGCAAATCATCGCAAAATCCACGTCAGCACGATTGAAAGTATCCTATCGAGGCAGAATAGTGTTGTGGATAGACAAAGTGAGGTCGAAAGTGAGGCTGATGAGAGGGAGGCGATTATGGTAAGTAATCGGTGTTAAAAATTATTTTTAAGCTTAGGCCTAAGCCTGAACCTGTGCTTGGTCCCAAGCCTAAGTCTAAAACTAAGCCTAGCCTGAACCTGAGCCGAAGCCAAAGCATAAGCTCAATCCTGAATCTAAGCCCAAGCTTAAGCCTAAGCTCAAGCCCTAGCTTCAGCCAAGATCTAAGCCTCTGTTACGCCAATCCTAAGAACCCCTTCTGCAGGTTGAGCTCGAAGTCGCCATGATTAACAACGATTTGACTAGGCGGGTAGGTTTTTATAAACATTTTTATCTCCCTCTCTCTCTCTCTCTCTCTCTCTCTCTCCCTTCATCACTTGCTTTAGCTATCCACCAGAAGACAAATCGCTATGCTACAAACAAATGATCGGCTCGAGGGGGTAGATTTTGGAGAGGATAATCAGAGGAAAAGATCGGGAGAAGTAAGCCAATTCTCAGTATCACTAAATTAAAAATTTCATTAGGACCCAGGATTTCTAAGGGTGTTCAACAATGAAGTTGTTCATAGGGTAAAAATTGCTGATGAACTAACAAATCCATTTTTGTTCTTGCCGTTATTCTATGAATTTATACAACCCTTAATTTTGTTAAATGATTAATTTCAGCGTTCCCCGCCACTCCGCTTCATGACACCAACAGAAGAACATAAGAAATCATCTGGCTCGCTTGAAAATTTGACCCACAATGGAATGGCTCCCCAGATATTGATTAATGGCAAGAAGATGGGAACTGTAGGAAAGTTAAATATATAGATCAAAAAGGGCTTAGAAAAACAAGGACGATCAAATCTCGGTCGACATTAATATTGTGGAGAAGAAGGTAATCCGGTCACCGAAAGATGAGGTGAGCTTAAATTTTTTGGAGTGCCTTAAATTAGAATCTAAGCAGCCTTTAAATATCCAAAAACTTGATTATGTTTTTTCAGATTGCTAATGTCGCCTACATGATAATTTTTGGGTCTAGCGCTAACAATTTTGTCGACGGGATGTCGGTTGGTAAGTGAGAGGGAGCGAGCGTGAGAGAGAGAGAGAGAAAGAGAAGGATAGAGAGAGACAGAGGGAGAGAGTGAGCGAAAGAGCGAGACAAAGATAAAGAAGGACAGAGGGCCAGAGAGAGAGAGCGAGAGAGAGGGAGAGAGAGAGTGCGAGACAGATGTGAAATTAATCTATGCATTTCCCCTAGGGGCCGCCTTCGCCGACGACATCATGAACGGGTTCAGCGTCGGATCGGCTATTCTCACTAATCAATTTCCCCAGGAATTAGGTAGAAAATTTTTGAAAACTCTAAATTATGTTAATTTAGGAACCTTGGCTATCTTAATCAACTCAGGACTGGGCTACAAGAAAGCCCTGCTATTTAATTTGATCCCTATCGTTCTGTCTTACATTGGGTTTGGCGTTGGCGTGATTTTGGATCGGGTAAATTATACAACTAATTCAATTTAATAGATAATATTTTTCTTATAAATTGCATTTTATAAAGTCAATAATGTTTCTCTTCTTTTAGGTAAATGAAAGCTACGATGATTACATCTTTGCCCTTTCCGCTGGGATGTATTTGTATATTTTTCTGGGGACTTTGGTATTTAATATTTCATGAAACTACTACATGACGTATTAGATCCCCGAAATTCGGGACGCATGCCAAGAATTGGCAAAGGAAAATTTGAAGGAATCACTGCTGGTTACTGTATTACAGGTTGGCTAAAAATAAAAAGATTGCACAATTGAAACGATAAAATTCCAGGTACTTGGAATCGTTGTCGGAATCGGGTTTGTGTTTATGATGGGTGAACTGAAATCGTCATCTTGATTATCGTATTTTTCTGTGGCTTTTGTTTGATAAATTGAATTTTACCTGTCTTTTTGCGAGAATTTTTTCAATGCGCACCGCTAGCTTCCCGATACAAGAAAAAAACCCTGTTGCAACGGTTTAATACAAGAAAGATCCGAGGCTTAATGCGAAAATAACAAAATATAAATTTGAAATTGAATACATTTTTTCGGTCTAAATATTTTCGAATTCTGGAAGCCTTATTTTTTTTAATTTTGCACTGCAAAAATTAATTGTTTGCCGATGCTACGATAGAAATATTTCATTTTTATCAATGCCTTATTGAACCTTTTTTACATAGTTTAATTTCAAAAAGAAAAATCACTTGTTTTTTACCTTTTCGGGAGTTTCTAAACCTTCAAAAAACGACATTTTTTGGAACACTTTGTATATGATTATAAAAACCCTGATTTCCATAAAAAAAACGGTCAGACCACCTCCGCCGCCCCAAACTGTAGATCTGAAATTCCGTATAGTGGCTCGAAACTTCGAAAAAGATCTTTGAACCCGAATGAATACCAAATTTTTTGATCGAATATAAGCCGTCAACTTCCTACTTTTTTGGTGGCCTTTGGAGCCATGTTTGGTGCCTTCATACTTACCGTACTTTTTGCCGGGGTTTACGCTGAGGTCAGTTTTATACTACAAAATCTCCTTTGACTGGTAAGTTCCCATTCAAATCTACAGTCGGCATATTTGAGGGTATGGATTTCAATCTTAAACGTTCCAAACCCATTTCAGGACTGTGAAGAGGGATGGACGCCTTATAAAGTGATGAACAGCTGCTACAAGGTCGGGGTTTATGTTGTTTCATTTCCGCTCTTTAGATGGTCAACGGACAGGCATTCTGGCACGCCGAAGCCGAGTGCGCGGAGCAAGGAGCGCATCTGACGTCAATTTTGAATGACGAGGAGAACCAGTTCATTGAAGGTGGGCCTTTCAAGAAGAGCCTCTCCCCCTCGCCCTACATCTCTCTCTTTCTCTCTCTCTCTCTATCTCTCTCTCTCTCTATCTCTCTCTCTCTATCACTGGCTGTCACTTTAAAACCGCTAAGTCGTAAATTCAGACATGATTTCAACGAAAATCCCCGGAAACGATGCCTGGGTTGGCGCGATGGTGGTCCGTTTTCAACATCTAACCAATAAATTTAACTTGGCACTACCACGTTAAGATCTTTAGATGACGCGCAACGACACGCAACACTATTGGATGGACGGGTCGCCGGTAAGCCAAAAAGTTGGCAAATGGGCCGTTGAAGTCCTCGATAAAACGATGACACGGTTTTGCATTCTTAAAAACGTAAGTTGGGCAAAGCCAGGTATTTAGGCGATTCCGCATCAGCATATTGCTCAGTTTTTAGGGAGACGGCCGATTCGAGCAAAAGTCGTGCACCGACTTGAACAAAGGGATCTGCAAGCGGCCAATGGGCCAAGCTGCGGTGAAGCTCGAGAAGCCGCTTTGCGATCAAGGGTGGACGGGGTCGAAGTGGACGGGTAGTTGCTATAAGGTACCGTAATCTCGCTCTTTCTCTCTCTCGCTCTCTTTTCCGGTCTCTAAATTTTGTCCTAGGTGACCCCTACGTCGAAAAGTGGTGAAGGTCAGGAGACATGCATTGGTTGGGGGGCCAAACCCGCTTCAGTGCTGAGCTACCTCGAACATGAGAATATTCTTGGTTGGCCTTTGTTTCCCGGAATTTACCGGAATTTAGAAATTGCCGCAGCTGCGGGCAGCCATTCGACTTACCTTGGAGCCAAGCGCGACGTGGGTTCGGCTTTCTGAAAGGGGCTACGAAATGCCAAAAATTGAGTGACGGCCCGAAAATCGGAGCCCTGTACGTCGGAGGCCTCTGTACGCCCAGGGGCCGGGAAGCTCGCAAAATTTGAAATTGCGTGTTGTCACCTCGAAATCGCGTTCTCGGCTGTTTCTGGGCCAAATTTGATGATTAAAACACCAAAACTATTTGAAATTGAGTGAGGATTTCAAAAATGGGCTCAGAATGCGCGAATTATAGTGTTTTCACAAAGAAACCGGGCAAAAACAGTTTCGCGCAAAAATCGAAAGTGAGAGCTCTCGTCCCGCAGCGCCCGCTGGCAATTTGCCAGAAATCAAAGAGGTCGCCCAAAACGGCTTTGATTTGGCAGTTCGGAGCCCCTATAAAGGGGCTCGGAAGTCAAAATTAGTGAGCGTGAGGATGGAACCTATTGGGCAGATAACGAAATGGTCAGTGCCGAGAAGTGCCAGAAAAGTGATTTTGTTGCAAAAGAAATGTAAAATATTTGAGTGAAACCGATTCTTGGGGCGAAAAATAGTTTTTGAGTGCGCGAAGATTACATGTCGTTGAAGGGGGGGGGATCCACATGCCGTCGGCAGCCCTTTAAATGTTTATTTCTTAAATTTATGGCGGTGAAGGACACTTTTTCAGTGTTCTTCCCGGGAATAACAAAATTTAAAAAAAACAGGAACGGCGGCGTCCTTTCAGGGAAATGGCCAGTTTCAATGGATCGACGGCTCCACTTGGGACTACGCCTTTTGGACATCCTACGGGCGACCCGACGAGTTCAAGACGTTTAATTGCCTTGTGGTGGGCATTCGAATGTCTAGTCGACATCATTGATTATTCGGCTTCTTTTTAGGCTTCGTTCTTCTTCTATTTCGATCTGGCACATTACAGGCTTCCGACACGGTTGAGCCCAACAGCCACGACAGCCATCGTTGGGCTGCCCGGGATTGCGACGAAGTGCGAGCAACCTTATGCAAAAAGGTCAAATCTTTTTTGCTTTTTATGTACATTATTTGCGCGACTTTCTTTCTAACTCTAATTATTAAAAATTGTAAATAAGGTCTAAACTACGGATTTTAGCCCGGAAATCCGAAGCCGACTGCTTAGCTACACGACTACTTTTGATCTTAAATAAATGCAAGCTCAAGCACGTATTTATAAGCTCGCCCACGAGAGGGAGAGAGATGGAAAGAGAGAGGGCTGGAGGGAGAGAGAGAGAGAGAGAGAGAGATCTAGAGAGCTGTATGATCAATGTCTTTCGGCAACATTGCAAAGATACTTCTTCGCGGTGACAACCTGTCCCTTCGCCTTTTCCATTGACGGCATCACGTCGGCTGTCAGCTTCAAAATAATGTTTTGGGGCACTTATTGAAAAAGATACCGTAAATCGCTGAAATATATTGGCGAGGAATAAGTAAAGCTCGGCTCGGGCCAGACCTTCGCCTATACATTGTCGTTTGCCCATCGAGAATGGGATTAGCTCTTCGATCTTCTTGCTCGAGCCATCGGGGTTTAGAAATCGAGACGGATTGAAGGTGTATGGGTCGGGGAAGATCTGAAATAAAAGGAAATGAAAATCATGATAATGATAAAATTAGTTACTCCAATTTGGAATTTGGCTAAAAAGATTAAAATGCTTGGCCTGATTCGACACTTGCCCAGAGTAGAAAGCATGAAAAAGTTAATCTACTAATTTAGACAAATTAATTTTATTATAACGTTCCTCATGCTTTTAAAATCAAAACAAAACGGCTTAGAATTCATAAAAATTGATAAGATAATCCCACTCACAGAAAAATTTCATTTTTTTACTCCTACTACCTCTACTACATCCTACCAAACCAACCAAAAAACCAATCTTAATTAAAATATGTACTAAGTCATTAACTTTAGCGCTGGAAAGCTTAAAGGGTGAAAAGGAATCGAATTGACGCGGATTTTACTTCTGTATTCTTTATTGTGCGCCGAGGCTGAATTTGGTTCTTTAAAATGCATAAAATGCTTACCTTCTCATCCAACATAACCGTACTGATCTGTGGCATCACGGCAGTACCAGCTTTTAATGTGTAGCCGCCAACTACAGCATCCTCCACCAGCACACGTTGCAAATTTTGAGGCAAAATGTTGGCCAACCGCTGGGATTCCTAAATTCATATTTTAGTTTCAACCAAATTTTCCAGCTACATTGACAACGGCATTCAAATAGGGCAACGAATTCTTGTCGGCAGTTGTCACTTTCCGAACGGATCCAATTACGCGATCCAATTCCTCGTGCAATTTTTCCTGGACTTCTGGGTGGTTCAGAATATAGCAAACGGCCCAGTTGAGGGTGTTTGTTGTGGTGTCGAGGCCTCAGAAAAATCTTCAAAAAATCCGAAGCTATCATACCTGCCACCCAAATGTCGAAAGCAACATTGCGGAGTTGAGCATCACAAAAAAATTGGAATAATAATTTTAAGGTTTCAATAATATTTGAAGCAAAAAATATTTTTCGAAAATATAATCCTCTTTCATATTTGGATTTTTGATATAATGCTGGAACTTTAGAAAACGAATTCTGGATACTTACGAGTAAAATTGCCCGTTTGGCTTGTCGTACTCGTTGTTCCATTTTTGGTGTTTCAGGTAACATTCCATTAAATCGGAATAACCCTAAAAATGCATAAATTGAAAACCGTAACCTTGCAAACTTTTTATACCTTTACAAAGCTTGTTGGGCAAAAGATTTAGCAAAAATTTATACCTCGTTGGTATAATCGATATCCTTTCTCCGCGCTTCAATTTGCGCCTCGATAAATTCGAAAATTCGAGTATTTCTGGACTTTGACGTTTCCATGGCGTCTGAATTAAAATTATCAACTTTTCTGTTGTGGTGTCAGCTTTGCTGGACCACAATAGATCCTCTTTTCCCGGCTGTCCCTCCTATCCAGTGGGTAAGCCACCGGCGCGCGCCCGCCCCCCTGCGGTCGCGTCGCGTGCGCCACTTCCCGCCTAAGACTAGATTGTATTATCTCGTTGCGGGTCCTCTTATCGGCACAGACTAGCTCTGTTGCCGATCCTCCTGCGACCATTTATGTAGATAAACAGCTGTTCGATAACTGTACGTCCATGCGCATTCCACATCGTTCGACTACGCATTCCGAGGATCACAAACAAACACTCCGAAAACCTTTAAAAAACGGTAAATTCCGCAGAATTGGTGCAACGGCAGCCAGGATGAACAGTGGGTGCTGATTTGCAACAAGCACCTTCCGTAGTAGCCCCTTTATTTCCTGCATTTCTTCTTGTCTTGCCTAAAGGTATCGTTGCCTTACGTGACTGCAAAAAATACCTCATCAAATCGGTATCCAAATAAGATGTTATTGATTATGGAGCCAACGGCAATGTCGAATTCATTCTAAGATTTACGTAACTTGACGATAGACAGAAAAACACCTGCATCCAAATGCCTGTTTTCTGTTTTGCCAGCCGCTCCAGAAGAAAATCGACTTCTACCATAATCTAAACAAATAAATCGTTGAAATAATGCGAATTTAAGGTCTAATAAAAGTAAAAATTGTAAAAAATTATAGTGAATACCAACTCTTTCTTCCATCAAATTTCGTCCCATGCCAAAGTCGCGCAGTGTATGAATGGCGAATCTTCAAAAAACTGTATTTCCCAGATATCTTTGAACCTTCCTACCGTCGTTGTTCCCTCCACAAATCTCCATTAGAAAATATCAAGCCGTATCCACCACCTGACAGTGAAATTAGAATTTTTGTAATCAGAATGTTTTTTTACTTTTTACACCTTGAGATTTTATCGATACTAATGGCAATATAATTAGCCATTTTTATCATATTTTTACCTCTCAAAAACCGCTGCAAGCCGGTGAACGAGAAGCGATCCGCAAGCAATCCTCCCTGTTTAAGAATTGTCTCTTTTAGCACCGCATAATCAGAAATGACAACCATTGGCTGGAAACCTAAATAAATTACGTTTATTGAATTTTGAAATCGATTTTTGTGAGATTTTTCCCGTTTAAAGGTAAAAAGCAGGCAATTCGCTTCAAGTTAAAAATATGATATGCAATACTAGCGACTTTGTTAACTCGTCAAATAAATACTTACTCAACCAAATCGTATACACCGGCCCAAATTCATTCTTCCATTTTCGAAAAATCTCATATTGCTGCGGCCCCGAAAACGACAGTAGGTTTCCAAGCACCGGCAGTGGAGTTGGACCTGGAGTGATGCATTAAAATCCAAGAAACCACAAAAAAAATCGCATACCTGGTGGTAAATTCCTTTTCTTCCAATACAACTCATGAAAAACCGCTAAAAATATCAGCGTAGTCAAAATTAGGAATATCATTTCAGGGCGACGATTTTTGGTCGACTAGCCAGTAAGATAAGAGTTCCGAGGGACTCCCAAGAACGAACGGACCCGCCGTCGATCAATTCAAAAAACATTTCAAGGCCATTGTGGCAAATGGCGGGAAAGGTAGGTTTTTCGAGTTTTTTAAACTTGCGGACCTTTTGCCCAGAGTACTCTGGCTGGATTCTGCTACTTTGTGATTTGTTCGGTTCAGTGATTTGGACAGAATATCTTTATGTACACAATGCTCCAAATCACAAATGACGGTCTTGGACATCACATAAATAATCTTTTGCTGTGACGACTTGTCCACGATTCTTTACCATCGATGGGGTCTGCGTGGCCGAGAACTAAAACGAAACGTTTTCAAATATTTTTTATACAGAATTTAATGCCTGGATAAGTCTTAAACGGATATTTAGGAGTTGAGAACTTTTTCATACCTTAAACCGCTGGAACAAATTTGCGACAAAGAGGAACAGCTCGACTTTTGCCAACCCCTCGCCGACACATTGCCGTTTCCCCACAGAAAATGGAACAAGCTCCTCATATCTCTTCAGCGACCCATCCGAATTTATAAAGCGCTCCGGCTTGAAGGTGTACGGATCGGGGAATACCTCAAAATAGAGGATACTATTAAGCCGTCATGGAACTGACCCGCTCATCGTACAGCACCGTACTGATCTGGGGCATCACGACGGTGCCGGCTTTTATTGGGTGCGCTCCGATTACCGTATCCTCGAGGAGTTTGCGTTGTAGATTTTGGGGGAGAAGGTTTGCAACTCTTTGCGCTTCCTGGAAATTAAACTTTAGGGGAAGTCTTGTGAGAGATAGAGCGTGCGCGAGAGAGAGAGAGAGAGAGAGAGAGAGAGAGACAGAGGGAAAGAGAGGGAGAGAGAGAACGAGAGCGAGAGAGAGCCAATGAGAGGGAGAGAGAGAGAGACATCAAGTAACTCACATTAACCACAGCATTCACATATGGCAAATCATTCTTATCACCCATCGTAATCATCCGGTCCGAACCGATTACACGATCCAATTCCTCGTGCATTTTCTTTTGAACGTTCGGGTGATTCAACACATAGCAAATTGTCCAGGTTAGAGTGTTTGATGTGGTTTCCATGCCTAAATTTAGCTATATCCATTATTCGACCGAAAACCTACCGGCTGCCCAGATATCCAACGCTACGTTGGTGAGCTGGTGATCACTATAAAAAAATAGGTACCACTAACTGTATGAGTCTTACCAATAAAACGACTCGTTTGGCTTGCCTTTTTGCCTTCTCTGCTCCTTTAGGTAGCATTCGACAAAGTCTGTGTATTCCTTAAAAACTATTACACAAATTTTCAACTTCACTCACATCGCTGCTAAAATCCACTTCTTTCCGCCTCTCCTCAATTTGCGCAGCAATAAAATCCATAATCTGTTGATGCGCGTTGATAAGGTTAAAGAAATATTCTAGAAAAATGCGTTGAAAGCTGAAGTTCCATACCCTTGAAGTACGGCACTTTCCTAAATACGGGTAGGAGCGTTGCGACCAAAAATGGTATATTCTGGCCGCCAGTTATGAGCGTGCGCAGGTGTCCCTTGATGATTTTGAACTCGTGTAGCTTGCTCTAGAAATTTGCAAGTGTGCCTTTAGTCATCGTGGTCTCGTTCAAGTTTTTTGAATAGTGAGTATACCTCGTCAAAACGGTATCCAAATAAAATGTTGTTGATGATGGAGCCGACAGCTGTGTCGAATTCGGACTAAAATTAATAAAATTCTAAAAATTGTTGAAATTGGACAAACCTGCATATTCAGATCAGTTTTAAGCGATCGCATTCTGTCGATAAGAAAATCGACTTCGAGCATGACCTTGAACATTTGAATTTTATTTTTCAGGTGCCCCGGTTGGAAAGTTTTAAAATCAGCCTTTTTCCTTGGAAATCGTTTAAAACTTTCGAATTTAGATTAAAAAATACGGATTTGTAAGCTCAGAAAGTGTTTTGTCTACTTACACGCTCCTCCATCAAATTTTTGCCCATGCCAAAATCACGCAGAGTGTGCAGAACGAATCTAAAGGAATTAATTTTGTAAAAAGCAAAAAGTTAATTTTTCTCCACCTTCGTTGCTCTCTCCAGATATCGCCCCAGGAGTTGATGACACCGTAGTTTCCGCCTAAAAATAGACCAGTAAAATTTGAAACGATTCCGAAGCATCAGGATAGTGTGGAAATTGTTTGTTCCAAATTTGATCATTTAGAATGCGTTTAAACCGATTTGAAAACCCACCTTTTAGCAAGTCCACCAAGTCTTTCAACGTCGCCCTATCCGCAAATTTGTCGCCATCCTTGATAATCGATTCTTTCATCGTTTGATAGTCGGCCACTACTACCATTGGTTGTGGGCCTAGAGTATCAATCATGAATTAAAGCAATTAAGAGATTATACCCAGCCAGTACGTATATACGGGACCATACTCCTTGCGCCACTCGCGGAAACACTCGTAGCCTGGGCTACATTTGACGACAGACACCAAATTGCCGAGTAGTGGAAGTGGCGTGGGTCCTGGAAGGAACTTTACTAGCTAACGGGTTGCGTCTTAAGATGGTAGTTTAGACCATTAAAAAGCTGAGACTAAAACTGCATCTGCTTATAATTTTTTCAAATGTCAGATCTTTGCTGAAAAATAATTTTTTTAGTTGAGAAATCGGGGTAATCTGCTCTAGTTTTTCGGATGCTGCATGTCCATTTTAAACTATTGATCAGATTTTCTCAAAATACATTGTAGTTACAACTCCATTTAATTTAAGCTATAGAAAAACTTTTTTGGATTTTTGAACCGCTCAGCTTAATTCTTTCGCGTTATTCAAAAGGGTTAAACCGTATTTAGATTATGAAATACAACAAATTTTTACATACCTGGCGGCAAATTCCGGCGTTTCCAATAAAACTCGTAGAAGAGCACGGCAGCCGTGCTGATGAACACAAGGAAGAAGATCATCTCTGGAAGATCTGATTTTCACGTGTATCGTTTGTATGTGAAGAAAAGCAAGATTGAAGGTTATAATGTATCTTAAAAATGATTAAAGCAATCTCCAGTAATCACAATCTCTAAAAATCAGGACTAGGATGTAGCCATCAATCCCCAGAGATATCCATCAAAATTGACAACCCAAAAAAAAATGAGAAAAGTGGGGTTGGCGGCGGGGCCGATTTGGAGCGGTTGCGCCCCCTCTATTTATACTGCCGACACCGGGTGAGTGGACCATGGTTTCTGACTTGTGACCGATTGGGGAGTGAAAGGGAAGGTCACTCGGTCATAACCAAAACAGACCCGACTAATGACTCAAAAGCCGTGCAAAGGGCCTTAAAAATGCCTGCTACTTGTCGACGTTGCCATGGTATCGCCAAGGCGATGAATTGCTGTTCGTAAGTTGATAAAGGAAATTCAAATGCTGAATTTTCTGCCATTGCTTGCAAATAAAAAGTTTACATCCAAATCCATTAAATCTAAAGGAGACATCTATGTAAAAGCCACTAACTCCAGGGCCTCTTATTTTATAAACGCCAGCATAATTGCCAGATTCTCTCTTTCTCGCTCGCTCTCTCTCTCTCTATCTCTCTCTCTCTCTCTCTCTCTCTCTCTCGCTCTCTCTCCCTTTCTCTCTGACTCTCGCTTGCCTTTTTAACTCTATCTGAATGACAATTCGAGTTGTTGCCGTGTGCAGTTGCAGAATTTATCGTGTTTTCACAAGGAACCGCTGAGCTCCCGTCAGTGGGGTTCATCCTTGTTGCCGCGGTACAGCCTTTCTAAAGAACACACTTTACTCTCTAATGTGTATAAAGCAACCCTGCAAAGCCCCTCGAAGCTGCGACCACATCAGCCATTCCCAACAACTGCTCAGTTCGTAGCAACAGCTCTTGGTACCGGCCTATGATTTTACTATGTACCGGCTTACACTTTAAAAAGATTCACATCAAAAAAAGCGTGGGTGTTGTTTTCAGAATAGAAAAGAGTAACGGGCTAGATATCCCTGGGTAGACCAAAGCCTCTCCTCACCAAACACGCATTTGATCGGCGATTAGAAGCAATTGCGCGTTCTTTTGAGGCGGACCAGCTGTTAATAGAATTTTCAATTTTGCAAAGGTCAAGTTTTCGCAAATGGGTTTTCTCTTTCTAGTAAGTGTTTTCTCAAAAATTTTTAATGTTGCTATAAACTAGGAATCGTCACAAACGGTAGAAATATCAAAAATAATTGTGTTTAAAAAGGTGTTTATTTGCTTAGCAATCCCGATTTTCGCAAACAACGATCACCCGTTTTTCCACAGGTTTTCCCTTATTGGACACTGACATACCGGCGTCGTTGCGTCTACTGGTAACAAACTTGGCGCTGTTGACGGGTCGACATCGCTGCATCCGACAGCAAATGCGGCGGCGAGCAACCAGAAAAAGACAAATTGTGTGTTAGTGTGTTAATGTGTCAAACCAAGTTTTTTATTAACCCATGGGTTTGGAAATATACAGGGTGTCCCAATAAAAAAGGTCACGCTGGCATTTTCTCATTTCAAATCCGATCGACCTGAAATTTGGAACAGAGTTGCGGAAGGGAATTTAATATGTTCACAGAAACTTTCAGCCCGTTCCGTACAGTAGTTTTCGATTTATTCCTTACGCCGGTGGCAAAACTTTGCCTTTTCGCGTTTCTTAGATCGAGCGATGTGTTGACTGAATTTTGCCTGAATCGCTGGTAAAAATTTGGTCGTGTCAGATCCAGTAAGATACTGCGACTTTCATTGGCGACTTTTAGCGGCAAGTTGCACTGCAACGATATTAATTAAGTTTCTAAGGTAAAAAATTTCGATTCGAGAAAAGCACCAAAAACTACCAAAAAACGGCCAAAACCCGGCGATGCACTCGGCTGGCGGTTTTTGATAATCCCTGCAGTAGACCGAGTGCAGAGGATAAGAAAACTGTAATTTTTCAAGGTTTGTGATTGAGTGACACTTTATTTTTGATGTTTCCTTGTATCTGTATTTGTTCATACTAGAATATTCATACATGCCGACTTACGAGGCATTGCCGTAGTTCGCGGCGTAGACCAACCCAAGGAAGACGATCAGTATGGAATACTGCATTGTTTTGGAGCGAGTCTGACATTTGGCCAGGCAACCGGAATTCTATACCCACGAAAACCTACCTCTATACCCTTTTCCCGAAAACGTATAATAATTAACCAGTGGAAAAAGACCGCTTCGCGGCCCTTGCCACTGGACCCCGTCCAGGAACCATGAATTCAAATACCTTCTTTGCCTGCGGCGCATGAACCTGAGTCAAGGAGCCATTCTTTGGCCTGCTGCGCAAGACCCAGCGTTGCGTTAGAATCCTTGAGACTGCGGCGCTAGTTCCTGGTTTTTTTCTCCTGGGATCTGGCATGCGGCGCGTGAGCCTGGGTCCAGGACACATCCTTGGCCTGTGGCGCGAGAGCGAACGTTGCGCTAGAATCTTTGAGCCTGCGGCGCTAGTTACTGGTTTCTCTCCAGGATTTGGCATGCGGCGCGTGAGCCTGGGTCCAGGACACATCCTTGGCCTGTGGCGCGAGAGCGAACGTTGCGCTAGAATCTTTGAGCCTGCGGCGCTAGTTACTGGTTTCTCTCCAGGATTTGGCCTGCGGCGCGAGAACCTGGGTTCAGGACCTTTTCTTTGGCCTGCGGCGTTAGAGCGAGAACCTCGCACACCGTGAGCCTAAAAATAAGTTTTGATGGTTGGATGTGAGGGGCCGGCATGGATAGCTGCCCCGAGAGAGGCATTCCGCGTGCTTCGGTAGCTCAATAGGGAGAGCATCGGACTCGAAAGCCGTAGGATGCGGGTTCGACCCCCGCCCGGAGCACTTGTTTTGCGGATTGGACCCGGAGCTAGTCCATGGCCATGGGACCCCAGAATTCCCAACTTGATGCTGAACTACCAAAAAGCAAAAGGTTACATTGGCCGGGGATCCGAACCCACGATCATAGGCGTGGTAGGCCGGGCGTAAGTCCATTACACCACGGGGTAGATGGGAACAGGCGGCGGGAAAGAAGCCCTCTTCTGTCCTGGGGGCGGATCCGCCCCGGGCAGCGGTAAAGAAATGAGAGCTGGGAGGGTATTCTGGTCACTTTACAAAATTCCTTTTTTAGTCTGAATCTGCCAAAAATTTGTAAAAATAATAAGATGCGCGTGATCCCCACCATCGATTACATAAGTGCTCCAAATTACAGTCCGAAAATCCATCTGGCCTTCGAGTTATGGCCCGGACACCACGGCACTTTGGCCATTTTGTTAAGGATTTTTTAGAAAAATGCTCATAAAAACCGTATTTTAAATAATTAACAAAAATCCAAAAAAAGTATAGAGATATTTGCATTATCCATCGACCCACGAAAAATCAGAGTCTAACACCGTCGGGCAATCGAGATAGCCTCTGAACAAACCTTTTTTTGGCCAAAATGTTAAGGGTTTTACACTATTTTCCTTGTAAAATAGTTAAATCAAGGAATTTCGAAAAACAAAAAAATGCGTATAAAGAGGATATGTTTCTCCGCCTCCATGCCAAAAATCAGCGCGAAATTCGGCCTCACGGCCGAGAAATCGTCATTACAGAAAACAGACATACTTTTCTCGCTTATAGGATAGGATTAAACAATTTAACAACCGGAACAATAATTTAGTGAGATCAAGCTGAGCAATGGATATTTGGTATGTGGGTTCCGCGTCGAATCCATCGTTGAAAGCCCGCTGGCTGAATATCTTGGAATTGATACAGAAATGTCTTTTAACCACCTTGAATAAATTAACGACTATATGTAAATTTCACCCAGAAGAATTCCATTTAAATGCACCCGGCAGGAGGCATTAGAAAGTCGATGCAATATACAGGATCCAAAGAAAGCGACATCTATAAGAAAGGTTAAATTTCAAAGAAAACAAATTTAAAAATTTTGAAATTGCATTGCCAATGTAGTACAATCCGAAAATACTGCTTTTTTTGGTTGCTAGAAGTTTTTCAGTTTGTCTGGATTCGGAGGTTAAAACAATTTGTTAAACAATACTTACCATGTTTCGGGTGAAATCTTTTGGCCGGGAATATAATCGTGATAAAGGCACTAGGCATTTTTGAAACTTTATACCTACCAACCTTTTTTTAGTTCGAGACGTCTCAAAATCATTGCACAACAAAAATCGCACCTGGAACCAATGGTTTGTATGTTTGTGTTTCTTTTTTGGGCCACTTAGCTGGCAGCCAGCCGACGCGTTTTCTCTGCCCCTCTCTCTCTCTCTCTCTCTCTCTCTCTCTCTCTCTCTGTCTCTTTTTCGCTCTCTTACTCACTACGCGTTTACTCCTTGTTTAACCTGTACTTTTTGGATGGTTTCCCAGGAAAACGGTGTCACGGCTGATTCATGATTTGGGTCAAGGTTTTGTAATATTTCGAGATAGTTGAAGATACGACAATTTGTTCTCAATGCTTTGTTTTACATCCCTATTTTCTCTTCTAACTCGCCAATTTTTCTTCTCTAAATTTTCAATGTTTTGCTTGGATCCTTATTTTTTTCTTATAACTCGCCGAATTTATGCACAAAACAAACAAACATAAATACATGAGATTTCAATACAGCTCCATTGCCATACAGCTTGCGTTTGTTGACGTTATATACAGATAAGTACAAATATACATGTTGTCCTGTCAAGGAGAGCAGAACGGTATCTAAAAAAATTAAAATAGATTAAAATAAATGAAAAAATTAAAGAAACTATTTAGAACGTTTCCAAATCCAATTTTCACGTCGCAAAAACGCAAATTTTTATACCTTTTAATGGATACAATCAGGCGGCGGGTCAGTATAGTCGGTACAGTAGGGCGGAAGCATATAGATGTGGAACTGATACTCGCAATCAAAAACAACCTATGAAGTACTTACCATCCCAAACTATAGTGTGAAAAAGGGTGGAAATGAGCAAAATATCACACGCGCAGGCGCACTTTTTAAACCTTACGCCCTCACATTCCTCTTAAATATCTGCATCCCAGGTATGCAAGCAAAATGGCGGTGATGCAATACGGCAAATGCGGTTGTTTTGAGGGCTTGAGGATTTGGAGGTAGTGACGGTCTTCGATATATGGTCATGTGCGTCGTTTGTCTTGCCCTTGGTCCAGCGCCAAGATTGAATATTATGGTGTCATTAAATTCCCAACCCGTTTATTTCCTACTTTGAAAGGTTTTACACGAAAGAATAACATAATGAAAACCTTTAAAATATTTACTAATAGGTTCAAAAAAATTAAATCTAGCTTTCCTTTATTCATAGAGACAGCCGGGTAGATGGTGCACGTTATCCCGGCAATAAACGGGTAGTCGGATGATGGCGTACCGAAAGTGGAACTGGCCTTACTAGGGGAACCCGACTAACCCCGGACTCAGAATTGCCTCGAAATTTACAAACGGATAGATCGACCACGCTGATCATCATCTCGTTTTTCGAATGTCTTACTGATCCTCAAAACCTGAGGTATGCCACGTTCAAAGCGATCCTTTAGTTAAAATCGTCAAACGTCGGCCTCGATTTTTCTCGATTATTTTTCTCTGTCGAATGAGCCCTCTCACTCAAAATTTTCGAAAACTCGAAAATTTGGAAAGATTGACAATATGGACTCCGATTTTTGTATGGGAATTCGTGAAAAACAGCCTACTTTAAAGATCCGCGTGGTCGATTTTATCTGTCTGCAAATTTTCAGGGAATTCCCTGTCCGGGTTTATTCGGTCTCCCCTACTCAATGTTAGTAATTATTGTAGAGTCAGCTTTTGGCTAAAAATCACCGCTTCTTACTCTCAACCCTGGATTGTATCTCGCGATACGCAGAGCACTTGCGAACCGAAGTGTTGCGTATCCTCACTTCTACCTACCCGGCCCAATGCCAACCGAATCTGTATTCAGCTGACAACTGACCATGCCCCGCTTGAGGAGACGAGCGAATACTACGTTCAGCATCAGCATGACAATGCATGTGCACCAAGCACATTTTCTGTTAGAGTCAGTAGTGAAAATTCAGCTGGGCAAATGATCGCTTCGCCTGATAACGCTTGCCGATCAGAATCTCGAATTACAAAATCTCGAACGACAAAATCTCGAATGACAAAACCTCGAATGATTAGAATCTCGAATGATTAGAATCTCGAATGATTAGAATCTCGAATGATCAGAATCTCGAATGAACATAATCTCGAATGAACAGAATCTCGAATGATTAGAATCTCGAATGATTAGAATCTCGAATGATCAGAATCTCGAATGAACATAATCTCGAATGAACAGAATCTCGAATGATTAGAATCTCGAATGAACATAATCTCGAACGGTCAGAATCTCGAATTTACAAAATCTCGAATGACAGAATCTCGAATGACAAAATCTCGAATGGTCAAAATCTCGAATGGACAAAACTTCGATCCAGGAAAGCACAGTTTGGATGAAAATTTCCACTAGCGACCTAGTAATTGAACCCAAAGTTTTTCTATGGAGGTTTTGGCAATCAATAACTGTAGCAACACTATCTAAAAGTTTAAGACTTCAAGAATTTGAGCCCTTTGCGTCGAAAAAAAAACAAATTTTTCGACTTAACGCTAATGTTCTTCATTATCATTTGTAAAGTATGATGTTCAAAAAGGACCATCCCTCGGCAGGGCATACTCACAGTCTACTAGCTTCTATCTAAGACAAAAAATCTATGCTGGATCGAGCCAGACGAAAAGATTAGGATATCAGTGGGAATCCTGGCATTCGAGATTTGTTCATTCGAGATTCTAATCGTTCGAGATTCTGATCATTCGAGATTCTAATCATTCGAGATTTTGTCATTCGAGATTCTGTCATTCGAGATTTTGTAATTCGAGATTCTGTCAATTTACCCTGATAACCCCGTTTTATACACCTAATCCTTCCGAAAATCCTTACCACACCTTCTTAAACCGGCATAAAACGATCACGGCGCTTTTTTGCATAGTGTCGTTGAAACCGTCCCGAGATACCGGGACGCAGACACTCTCCGACTGGTTCCCTTTCTCTCGCTCTCGCTCTCGCTCTCGCCGTCACACTCCTTCCCTCGATTTCTCGCTCGCTCTCGCTCGCTCTGTTTCTCTCGCTTTCTTGCTTTCACTCTCCCTCTCCGCTCTCTTTTTCTCTCTCTCTCGTTTCTATTCATTGACTCTCTGGATGACTCAGCTGCTGTGTCAAAATCAAAAACGCTACAATAACAAACTGATTGGATCAAAGAGTTCTGAGATTGTTTCGTTGGTGTCATCCATCCGTCGAACCAGCAGTTTATCACGAATAATGAGATCCTTGGATGTAAAGTTTTATTTCGGCGGCGGTGTTCTCGAACGACAGTCAGTAGATAGCGTCGCAACCTTAATAAAAATTCCTGAGCCCAAAAACATCATTAAAGTTCCATAATTAAAATTCGTGAGCTCAAATTAAAAGCAATACGATATCTAGTTTAATTACATCACACCTTACTTTCACAGTTCACCATATGCAGTCCGGCGGCGGCACTATGTAATCCATACACCAAGGAGGTGAGACGCGAATCCAAAACTGAAACATTTCAATTTGACACCGTGCCCTATATCCTTTAGAATGAGTCGGATTTTAATTTGCGTAACTTTAGCGACCATCCAAAACTCACAATTCCGCGCTTCCGATAGATATGGGCGGCCAAGAAAGCGAGCAGCACGGCAATAACGAAATATAGCAAATTAGGCATAGTAAATTTTTGGAGTCTGATGCTAGTGATGATCGTCGTCAAGTAAAGATGCTTATATACCCATAGCTTCTCCGAAACGACGCCAAAGGAGAGATTCGTTGCGCCAGAGAATTCCGTGTGGCCCAAGTTATCATCACGTCGCTGAGGCGTTCGGCAAACTCGTGGTCGGTGCCTAAAAAAAGTTTGCGGGCCGGCTATGCGGTAGGAAAACGAGAGTCTGCTTCTGTGCCCTCTTCTTCTGCCTTGATATTTTGCCCGTTGCTATCTTTATCGGGCGGCAATTCTGGGTAAGCCCCCATTTGCGGTCAATTTATGGTATCTGTCCTCCTGGGGGCACATGAATCATGTGTCTGGAAGGGGAAGTTGAAGGTTGCAGGTTGGAGTTTAATTAAATCCCGAAAAATAATAGATTTAGTGGAACCGTAAAAGTGAATTAAAGTTGAAGTTTTGTGGAACCGTAAAGTTAAAGTTCTGCTCTCAAATGGGCATGTTCAGGGAGCGTGTCTATAAGACTTTCTTGCTCTCTCTCTCTCTCTCTCTCTCTCTCTCTCTCTCTCTCTCTCTCCTCTCTCTCTCTCTCTCTCTCTCTCTCTCTCGCTCTCGCTCTCGCTCTCTCGCAAGTTCTCTCTCTCTGAGTTTTATCTTCTTTGGCCGGGAAAGGCATACAAAGTAATCCACTTCGGCCCGAGACCCTTTACGTCTTTTCTGGCGTATCATTTACTATGCAGATCGGATCTTTTATCGCAAAAATTCCATAGAACAAAGTTAATATGGAGGACTTAGTATTATACCATTCCCTTCGATTACAAAAGAACCGCGAGGCAGCCGTAAACAACCGTTGCAACAACTTTTCCCCAGATCGAACGCTTAATTCAATGAAAATTTAGAGTCCAGGCCCGATCAATACTTTAAATTTTCTAGAAAACTCCTCCTTCTTGGACCGTCTTTTCGATATTATCTTCTTTTTCATTCCCGTATGCAGCCAGTCGTTGTGGTCAGGTAGTCACCGCAATATACAGGGCTGGACCCTAGGTACGACTTCAAGAACTTTTGCGTGGAATTTAGAACTTACCATGCCTCTTTTTTGTCTTTCATAGATTCCCGCGGTGACAAAGGTGAATAGATAGAGGAAGCATAGGTAAACAATTATTTGGGGGTGCAGCATGATAATAATATGGTTGTATAGAGTTAGTATAGTAGCTTAGAATTGCTTACCGGTAAGTTTGCGGCTTCTTTATATATCAAAGTTTTGATATTTCACAAGCCGCAGCCTCAATTTCTTGCATTAGAAAATCCTGCGTGCGGTCCCCTTTGATGTATTGTACTTGTATGGTCTTTGACTAATTACTGCAAACACCCGCGCGGCGGTAGATGCGCTGCTCTTCCGAATTTTTTGCCAGTATGGGGGCGGAAGGGCTCTAGGCGTCAGGTTAACTTACTGTTTGAATGGTCGGATGACGTGGAAGGACTTAAAGGAAGGTGAGAGAGCCAGAGAGAGAAAGATATAGATAGAGAGAGAGACAGAGAGAGAGAGAGAGAGAGAGAGAGAGAGAGCGAGAAAACGAGAGTGAGACACAAATCAAAAACTTTCACCGAATTTCCAAAAAATCTTCATTCATTTTCGAATCTACCTCACGTCAACCCCACCTTCCGGTGCGCCCGTTTATCTCCTTGTTCGTTAGACTAAAAAGCTTCCCCTTTCTCTTATTACCCCTTTTTCTCTGCTCCTTCTACTCCCTCGTCCCACGCACCAGACTTCACCACTCTGCCCCTTTTCCCTTTTCGAAAGTCTGCGCTAATATACCAAAAATTACACAGTTTCCGTCTCATTTTACGGGTATTTTCATGCTACAATGACTTTTAAAGACCTCGTAAGTTTATTTGTTTTAATTTCAATGGTTTTTAGCTAAAAGTCATTTCAAAACGGGATTCCTATTTGCTCCTCTTTGCAGCTGTTTGCTCTTGTCTACAGGGGCTGTGCAAAGTGATCGATTTGTATTTGATAGCGTAAGTAGATGGGCAAATGCAGAATTTATGACGTTTTTCAGAATTAAAATCAAAAGTTAAAATTTAGGGAAGTAGCGGGAGTATATGTGGAAGCTCAGAAAATTAAAAGTGAGTCGTTTTAAGGTTCCGAGAAAACGAGGGAACTAGAGACCGAGAGAGAAAGAGAAACGAGCATTAGAGAAAGATAGAGGGTGAAAGAGAGAGAGAGAGAGAGAGAGAGAGAGAGAGAGAAAGAGAGAGCGAGAGAGATATAGAGAGAGCGCCCGAGAGAGAGAGCGATAGTATTATCAATAACTTAGATGACGAGAATCTATCCAAACTCCAAAAGGAGGCAGCTGCTGCTCAATTCTCTGATGAAATCTACGCATTCTCACTCAACTTTCTATCAATAGCATTTGTCTGGTTTTGCCTTCATTATATTGCGGTAATAGCGTCACAATCCCTCCTTTATTAATATTCCAGCAATGCATATTTTTTGCCGTTTCGGAGCGAATTCACTACAATCTGCGGGCCAGTTATTTTCGGGTATATTTAATACATCCCTAATCAAAAATATTTAAATTTTAGGCCCTCCTATTCCGCGATATTACTTGGTACGACAGAAATAATGCGGGTGAAACATCGAGCAAACTGCTTAGGTAAGTTTAACAACGAAATTGAGGGGAAAGTTTTTTTAGCTCTACAAACCTGCTCAAAGCTTTTATGGAAGAGCATGCATGGAAGCTATTTTTCCATGCGGCCGTCATTTTGTCCACATTTCTGATTTCAATCTACACAAACTGGAAACTTGCGTTGTTATATCAATGTCTATACCCATTTATTACGGTAGCCGCGCATTACTTTAATAAGGTATTCGAGAATATTTGTGTCGCTCTTGCTCTCGCTCTCTCTCTGTCTCTCTCTCTCGCTCTCTCTCGCTCTCTCGCTCTCTCTCTCTCTCTCTCTCTCTCTCTCTATTGGTCTCTCTATTTTTTTCATTCTTTTCCGTCTCACTCTCAATCTCTAACTTTAAAAAATATTTAGAAAGTCGCCGCAAAAAGTACTTATTTATTGTCGCAATATGCAAAAGCTGGCGCCGTTGCCAAAGAGGTATATTTTAATGAATTTCTAATTGACCTTAAAATTTGTATATCTTAACATTTGCAGGCACTCACCCAAATTCGTACCGTAATCGGTTTCAATGGCCAAAAATATGAGGTGGAACGGTATAAAAATGCGCTGGATGAGGCGACAAAGCAGGAATTGTGGAGTACATGTGGGTTTCTCGTTCTTGACGCTCTCTATCTCTCTCACCCTCTCTCTCTCTCTCGCTCTCTCTCTCTCTCGCTCTTTCTCTCACTCGATAAAACTATTTTAGTCTACCAAAGCATCGGTCAAAATTGCCTGCATTCGGCAATGAACGTCGTCTATTTCGTTGTCTATTGGTATGGCACGGATTTTGTGTATTACGACTGGGCTACGGTGGATGAAGTGTTGAAGGTAGAAAATCAGCTTCCGTTTTTTTGATTATTGATTTATCCTATTGAGAATTGCAGGTGTTCAACTGCGTGAACGCGTTCTCTTTCGCCATCTCCCATTTTATGAACACGCAGCAAAAGGGTACGGTGGCACTGGACGGGTGCCAGCAGATACTAGAGGAGGTTATTACGGTAAAGCGCTTTTTATATAATTGTTTGACTCTTTCCCTGATCTTTCTTCCTAATTAGAGAATTAGCATTGTAGCTACAATTTTCCCGTTTAAATTCAGCGACGTCTCTAAGTTTTTAAAGTTTATTTAGGCTTCCAAGGCAGAGAAAAGTGAGGTCGCTGAACGCCCTGAACTTCACGGAAAAATCTGCTTTGACGACGTCCATTTCTCTTATCCTAGCCGGCCGGAAGTGCCGATTCTGAAGGTATTGACCATCGAAGGGTGTCATAAATGACCTAAATCCTAGGGTCTGACCTTCACTTGTGAACCAGGTGAAAAAGTAGCCTTTGTCGGCACCACCGGAGCTGGTAAATCGACTATTTTCAGCCTCATCATGAAATTTTATGATCCGGCTTTCGGAAAGGTATAACTTATGCATTATAGCTTAATAAAAGCAACTTTAGATAGCTTTTGATAATACAAACGCGGCAAAAGTTGACACTCAATATTTACGCTCTGAAATCGGAGTGGTATCGCAGGAACCTGTACTTTTCGATGCAACGATACGAGAGGTACAGTAACCAAGCTAGCCATTAGACAAAGCCTTTGAGAATCTACTGTATTCAAAGCCAGCCGCATCTAAGGCTGAACTGCTCGAAGTCCTCGACCAGGCAAATGCGCTGAATTTCGTAAAAGAACTGCCGGATGGGATTGATACGAGGGTTGGGGCACGCGGAGCTCAACTTTCTGGGGGACAGAAGCAGAGGATAGCCATCGCTAGGATGTTACTACGGTAAGTAGTATGGATTCTATAAAGCAAAATCGCCCCGAATTTCCAGTAGAAATGCTTTCCAGAAATCCTAAAATCCTGCTCCTCGATGAAGCGACCAGCGCTTTGGATACAAAAAATGAGCGCGCGATTCAGGAAGCGCTCGATAAGGTAATAACTATAAATAATAATCTTTTGACGGCTTGCAATGCGTCTAATAATTTACATAATCTTACCATTTTTATATCTTGTTCATCCTCCTCAGCTAGTAAATTCAAATTCCAGGCCTGCTTCGGGCGTACAACCCTCATTATCGCCCATCGCCTGTCGACCATCAAAAATGCCGACAAAATTGTGGTAATCAAGGATGGAAAAGGTATCCAAATTTCGATTTCAATAGCAAATCTTGCTTTATTTAGTGGCAGAAACCGGAAGCCACCAAAATTTGCTCCAAGCCAAGGGCGCTTACTTTGAACTGGTGAATTCTCAGGTTTTCGAGGATCCGGAAAAGAAGGAAGGTATAAAAAAAGTTGCAATCCCCTAAAGAAAAAACGGCGAAATTTAGAATCTGAAAATGATAAAAATGACAACAAGGATTTCCAGCGCCTACTATCGGTGCAAAAAGAAAAATCACCAAAACCGAAGCGGAAAAGAGAACTTCTACAGAAGGCTGGATCCCTCAAGAAATACTACGAAATGCTTGGAACGGATAAAAAATACTTTTTCTTTGCTATATTCATGGCAGTTACTGAGGCCAGTTTTCCATTACGCCGAAAACAGATAAATTTCGTTTTAGGGCATCGTTCCACCACTTTATGGAATTATTTTAATGCAAAGAGCTGTAGTAGGTTCCAAGTTTTAAGAAAGGATCCAAAAAAATGTCGAAAAATCGATTAAAATAGAAATTCGTTTCTTAGGCCTTCGCCACCAACGACAAAGAAGAATTGCTACGAAATGGACATGCTGCTGCGTGGAATTGGGTGTACCTTGGAATCTTTGAGTTCTTCCGAGTTGTGCCAAGGGTAAGCGGAAATTGAGAACGGAAATTGCGCATTTTTAGTTTATCTCCATCGTACTCTCGTCTTGCCGTTTGGCACAGAAAATTCGAGTCCAAATCTTCAAAAATGTGCTCCATCAGAATGGCGATTTTCACGATGCAGCTGAAAATTCAAGCGGGAAGATTGTTTCGTATTTGGCGTCTGATGTGGCGGCTATTAAGGATGTGGGTGAATAGAAGCTGAGGCAAACTAGCAGGGATTATTGGAGGGAAGATGACGGAATCGAAGGGTATATGGATTGGTCTGAAAATTCGGTTTCGAAAAGAGGAAAAATCCCCAAAGCTAGCTAAAAGGTCGACAATTCTGATTTTATACCTAAAATGCCGACAGCCACAATGCCGACAGATTAAAATGCCTAAAAAAAGCAAATCCTCTCTGTGGAAAACCATTTTTCATGTGATTTTAGTCTTTTGCTGTCGGTATTTTGGTTATCGATGTTTTTCAATGTACTTTCTTAAGATCCCATTAATGCATTTTCAGCTCTTTGGCGAATACCTTGGCACCCTCACGAAAGCTGTCAGCTCGTTCAGCATCGGCTTTGCGATAGCTTTCTATCTGGAGTGGAGATCGGCTTCGATTAGTGAGTTTTTAAGCTTGGATATTTCTTGGGTAATTAAATAAGTTTACATTTATTTAAATCAATAAGCAATCTCACTAAAACTATTGTTACAGTGCTTTTCGTCGTCCCATTCGGCCTTTTCCATAGTGTCTTCATCGAGAAACTCATGGAGACCTTTTACCGTGAGGAGGCAAAGTCGAACACGAATAGTAGTGATGTAAATTTTTTAATTTTTTATACCACAAAAAAAATTATTTAGTTACTCTCGGAATCGATCGAAAATATTCGCACGGTACAAGCATTGACGCTACAAACTCCGTTGCTCCAAAAATACTCGGATTGTCTGGAGATCCGGCGCCGTAATGGGAAGCAGAAGGGGAAATATTTGGTAAGCTGTCGATTTTAAAAAATTCATAGCCACGCTTGTCGACCCCTTTAAAATATCTGCAAATTTTCACATGTCAGGCTCTGGGCAGTGGTGTCGCCTGCTCCCTGCAAGTCACCATGAACTTTTTCAAGCAATTTTTCGCAGCCGTTTTTACATCAAAATACGAAAGCTTTGAGCCGATGCAAGCCCTAAGGTATCGTTTGGACCTTAAAAACGTTGAGCTGGATTTTTAGAGTCCAATCCTCCCTCACGAATTGTGTAAACAGCGGCAATGAGTCGATAAAATTTTTGAGTATTTGGACAAAGGCGAAAATTTCGGCTGAGATTTTGGATCGATTTATGGATATCGAGAATACCGAAAACTTGCTGGTCGAAACCCAAGAAGTATATTTAAAGTAAAATTCATTTAAAAGCTCCTTAGACAGATTATTCCGAAATTTCCTTTGTTAACGTCTCATTTGCATATCCAGAACATCCAGATGACCTAGTGCTTAAAGGTATCATCAATTGATGAATTTCCCTAGTTTACTTTTCTTAAGATTTTAACGCCGTCATCAAATCCGGCCAAAAAATAGGGCTCGTCGGCCAGTCGGGTAGCGGTAAAAGTACCATTGTAGCGCTTTTACAACGAATTTACGAGCTGAAAAACGGGAAAATCGTAAGTTTGAGAATTACATATCGTAATTGGTTTGCAGAAAATCGGTGGCAAGGAAATTTCCGGAATTTGCAAGCGAAAATTGCGTTCGGAAATCGCGGTGGTTTCACAGGAACCGACGTTGTTTGACGATACAATATGGGTAAGCAACGGATACGCAAATCACCAAGTAGCTTACGTAGAGTAAACATTAGTCTAGTGTAGCTAACGTAGAGTAATAAGTAGCGTAGCGTTGGCTTAGAGCCTTTCACTTATGGGCACACAATGCGCAAATCGCTAAGTAGAGTAACCGACGTACACAGTAGTCTAGCGTAGCTTTCAATTTTGCGCTGCTAATTGGTGCGCGAACGATACGCGATACTTCAACGTTGCCTAACGCAATTCGTAGTGTGGTGTAGCTTACGATTTGTCCCTCGTAGTCCTACGTGATAATTAGATCGCGTAACGCAATCAGCAACGTAGCGTAGCCTATGGTCTGCGTCCCGAATTGGTGCGCGTCGTCACGAAGCTACACTCTTAAATATACGCAATCAGGCGTAACGTGCCCTTTTTCCAGAACAACATTTGCTACGGTTTGGAGCCCGAGCTTGCCCATGAAGCCGATCTTCACGAAGCCGCACAAATCGCTGGGGTTCATGATTTTATCCAAAAACTGCCTGTTGGTTATCAAACCCGCGTCGGATCGCTGGGATCTCAATTATCTGGAGGTAAAGGTTTTTTGGCTGTTTTTAGTGCTGTTTAGGGCTAGACTCCAGCTAACCCCTCACCCCCCCCCCCCGCCGTCGACCCGCACGTACCGTATCTCAGCTCCCTGTTCCTCTATAGGTGTGTAAAGTATAGCAAAGTACTCGCCAGAGCAAGACGAACATTTTGATATACTCTACACATCTGTAAATGAGGAGGGAGCTGAGATGCAAAAGTTGGATGCCGGCTGTCGGGGGGCGGGGCGGGGGGGGGTATCTGGAGTCTTACCGTGTTTAGGTCAAAAACAACGCATTGCTATCGCCAGGGCTCTGATTCGGAAACCAAAAATCTTGATTTTCGATGAAGCCACCAGTGCTTTGGATTCAGAAACCGAGAAGGTACTTCAAAGGAATATATTTGATGGATTTTTGATAACCGGATGCCTTTTAGTCAGTCCAAAAAGCCATCGATTTGGCGGCGTTCGGCACGACTTGTATTACGATAGCCCATCGATTGTCTACGATTCGGAATTGCGATCAAATTTACGTGTTAGAAAAGGGACGATTGGTCGAACAAGGTAAGTGTAGTTTATTAAAATTTAATTAGAGTGTTATGGCTGAATTTTAATGCAAATTTAGGTAAACACGATACCTTGATGCGGTTACAGGGTTACTACGCTAGAATGGCCCAACAAAGCAATCAATAAAATGTATTTGTTTTTATTTATAGTTATTTGGTAAATTATTTTAATAAAGTATTATAAATTATTTCGGTCTATTATAAAAGTATTATAAATTAATCTATTTAATAAGTATTATAAATGAATCTCAAATAGCGCAACCAAACAGCTCTACGTCAATTAATTACTACTTATATTTTTTTGTGAACTTAGCTTCACATCTTGCAACGCCTTACAACTAGGAGTTTGCTCAAGGACCACCGACAATTTTTTATGAAACCGATATCTTGGAGAAATTCACCAAGTTCTGGTACCGCGAAACGCCCTGGAACATACCAAGATTTGAGGTTCTGTTAGTTAAAACAAAAGAAACAAAAAAAAGAAAAGGGCACACCGGGCTTTACTGCACGACTTCATCTAATGATGATGAAAAAGATGTACCAGCAATATCGCCTTACAAAATTTAAAAAGCGGAAATAGAGTAACAGAGAGAGAGAGAGAGAGAGAGAAAGAGAGAGAGAGTGGGAGTGAGAGAGGAAGGGATGGATAAAGCGAGATGCTTTTTTCCAGTGAGGCCCTAAGATTTTCGAAGTTTGGCCGGTGAGGTAAGCTCTTCATAAAAATGCCCGATCTGTAAGTTTTACAAACGGATAAATTTTGTTATGGGAAAGGCGAAAGGTAGTTTGTCATGCGTAACCCGGTATTTCGAGAAGAAGCCTCAAAAGCTAACTCACAATTTAAAAATGACAGTCCCAGGGCCGGCCCCACAAAAGAACCGATTGAATAAGAGCTCCAGTGAAAGACGATTTGGGAAAAATTATATCGAAAAAAGTTTTAAGCTACTAAGTGACTAATCCCCATCGAGAATATGGATCTTTTTAGAAGCTATCGGAAACTTTGTTTTCTGTAAAACCTGTGCATTTTTGTCGTGTTTACCTAAGAAATTATCTCCCCCCTACTCGTCATTTATCGGCTTAATTTTTGTGGGCCAAATTATTGGCCGGAAGCGCAGTTGATTGCTCAGTCTGGTGCCATCAATCCATGCGCTGGGTTTTTGAAAAGTTTCTCTATGGATTACCGCTATTAAGTTTTGTCCTGGGCGTCAAAGTCGTACTTCTGGAGCAGCAAAACCCGTCCTATGTTTTTCATGGCACCTCGCTGGCAATTGAAAACGTACCACCAGAAAGAAGAAGATTACTTGGTTTTTAGAATATTACCATTGATGCAAAAACTGGAACTACATTTATTATGGATTACGGTACTCGATACTGTAGAAACGAGAATGTGAGTTGTTTTTGTGAATTTTAGTAAGAAAAACGGTAAAGATGTTACATTCGTAATCAGTTTTGTTTGATTTGGTGATGAGGTATGTATCAAGAATACTTAAATGAAATATAAATTTTTCAAAGTGTAAAAAGAGCGTTTAATTTTACAGAAAAATTGCCAAGTTTTAGGGCCCAAACCCAGTCGCTCCACCACCTGCAAACCGTATAACCTGCTATGATAAGCTGCCGTTTCTCATAGATGGCAAAATACCGGACAACCGATTTTGTAAAGGAATTTAGTATGATTCTTCATTAACAACCATACCTTAAACTTTAGCGCAATCGATTTTTCACTCCAAAGTTTCGTCTTTGCTTGCCGATTCGAGATTAACGCCGAAAGACTCGAAATTGCCTATCAAAGCCCGGTGGTTGATGATTCTTTTGCAGTTTCAGTGAAAGTGAAAGAATGGGTGGATGGTATAATGATCTATCAACCAAGTAATTAGCATTGTAGAAAGATACCAAACCTACTTAATGCCAGAACTCGTGACATTTCGAGCAGGAGTACTTTTCACGTTATACCTTAAACGAGGTGATATGTGGATTTTGGTCCCGGTTGGGTATAGGTAGGTAGCAAAAAGTAGTTTAATTCTGCTAAGTTTAACGGCATCAAGGTATAAAAGCATTAATGATATTGAGGGGTTTTAGTGGTGCCGACGACGCTGCCCAACCTGGTGTATTGGTCAGCGTTCAAACACTAGGAAGCCCGGAAACCCTGTTGTCGTTGTATTCTGGCGGGGATCCGGGTTTGACTCCAAGTGACGACAATTTTTTGATTAACATAACGTAAGTTCAGCAGTAACGAGTGATTAACCGTTAGAAAGTGCAGTTTTCAGGGCCATTACTCCTGAAAGGATACCTTAAAATCAGCAAAAAATACTTTTCCTAGAGGAAACATGGAAATCCAAGCCCTCTCTGCCGCCACGACAATCCTGGTATACTCTCCAGCAGCCGTTGGACCCCTAGGAATTATGTTTAATCGAGGGCATGGTGATAACATTTTTTTATACCCTTAAAAATGAGGCCCTAGGTCTCACCTACAAATTCGCCAGCCCGGGCTGGCCTCAATACCTGCTGAACAGCCCGGAAATCCCGGAATTATGGATTGAGCAGCAGCATTGTTTTCATCAAGTTCTCTGGAGTAATTATTATTGAATTTTTTGATCGTCTAATTTTTCGATCAACCCGGCAGCGATTCGCATTACATTTTCAATTTCCCAAAACTTAGATCCGGAAATTTGACAATGCACGTGATTGGGAAAGACGAGGGAAGGTATTAGATAAGTATCGATTTCAGGTACTTTACTTTTCAGTTATACTTTTACTGCACAAGACGAAGGACAAAACTCCACACTGTTGGCTCAAGACCTACAGGTACGTTCAACAGCTGCATTAACGATCATAGTTTTCAGCATCTAAAATTGATTAATGGTAGATTTCAGCTAACCTTCTGCCCTGCGTCTAGAGACTCCAAATTTGTCCTTCTGATCGGGGAGGACAACGTTTTTCCGACACCTTCCGTTGAGTGTGAGATGTATTTTGAGCTGAACCATACGATGCCGTTCCTTGCCATCCCTATCGACGCGCTACACGGCTCAAAAAGTGTATTTTTGGTGCCTAAAGTCAATATAAATTTAGTCAATCAACTCTGTTTCCAAACAAAGCTCACGTCCAAAGCGACCGAGATTGAGATGTGCGCCTACAATAGCTTTGCGCAATTTCCATTTCGATTAGATGGAAAGCGGTTGGAACGGACGGCTTGCACAAAAATGTAAGGATTTTTACGGAATTTACGACATTGTCTTTGTTTTGATTCTCAAATTGGACATAGGAAATAGGTAAAATCCATTTAGACTTTTTGTTGGCTCGCTGCACCTTTATTGCTGTAGTGTGGCCGCTCCTTATATCCCTGGTCTTGTGCGTACAATTTATTTCGACGATCATGATCTGGAAGATTTGGCAGGGAACGTACTATTGATAGGATTATCTGATTACGGTAGGTTATCGCGTGGCTCTGCTGCATCAATTTATGAATGTCATAACTTATCATACACTCTAGCGTACCTTGCCATTTCAGAAACCATCGTTTTCAACGAGGTATACCAGCCCTCTTACATTACCTTACCCGAAGTACTCGATCGCGACATACTTGTCGTTGTCATCTCCTCGTATTGGCTTTATAGCGCTACGACACACGCCGAGTTTTCAGAATTACGATGGGTACGCCCTCAGATTAGCTCCTAACCTCCTGATATTTTAGGCCCGACCAACAAAACCTTGCCAATATCAACTTTTCTCTACAGAAGGTTTTACTAATAATGAATCCGCATTACTGGTATTTGAGTAAGTGATCGAGCAACAATTTTATCGTAGGCCATTTTTAGTGACAACGATCCCTTCCAAAATCAGCCTCTCACCTCGGAGCTCTACTTTATCTTGGTGCCTCGTGGGTGTCAGCCGACGATTGCGGTTGCTCCAAAAACTTCTCGTGGGTTCCGGCTGAAGCTTTTCATCAGTCTCACTTCATTCATTACAGCTTTTCCTACTATACCAGTATCTTAGAGTGCTTCGCCATCTACCACCATTGCGAAGGATCCGTTTTTGCGACCGCACCGGGCTACAAAACACGTTTTCATAGTGCTATCCCGGCCTACGATTATAACACGACTTGGTTATGCGGTATTTCAGCTCCAATATCGTCTGGAAGCTTCAGACGCCTTTCAAATTGACATCACGATCGAGTTGCTGGACTTCGTTAATGGAGATTTGACGTTAGCAATACGAAATCTTACAGATGAAACCGTTCCTGGTGGAATGTAAGGTGCAAATTTACACACAATCACCTAAATTGAGGCTCAATTATGACCCGGACTCTTCCCAACCTCAAAATCTGACGTTTCAAAATGTCAGAAGTGTCCAGGTATCGAAAAAATTATCCATAACGTTATATGCCAAACTCTAGATACTTTGGCATCCACCAGGCGATATTCAACCATGGGCTTCCACTGGCTTTTTCCTCAGGATACATTTTAAAAGGCGATTGAAAATTGTCGCCACCACCCCAAAGTCATCCCTTTCATCAAATGTCGTTGCTATTTTCTGCTACATCATGATTTTGCTACTGTTGTAATCCTGTTATCCTGTCCTTATCCTGTGCAAGGCATTCATGTTTTAAACTCCGGCTCGCTTTTTGAGAATCTTTCGGATTCTTTGGAGCCAGCCTGGGTACGTCGCTGCAATGGCGCCGACCGGGTTCTTCGCTAGGATTCACTTTCAAAAGCTACCTGGTGCACATGTTAATGGATCTGTGACAGCGGCTACCACTACTTTGAAATCATCAGGACATCTCCTCAATCCGATGTCTATAACTTTTTTATCGGTAGCATCATTATTAGCTATTGTTAATCCGGCAGTAACTTGTCAACGACGATTATCCGTTTCTTTTCAACTTTACGCATAATCGACTCGGGAATAAAGTGAATATTTATAGTTAATGCTATCGACAAAGAACGACACACAGAACACACTAGCAAAGCGCTGGAACGGTCTTTTGGGTCTGCTCCTCCTACGCAGGGTTACAATTTACTCTGCTCTCCGCGCTCTCGCCGCATCGAAGAGACCACGGCATTAACAGCGCATAATCCCCGACCTTACTAATTTCGCCAATGGCTTATTATTACTTTTTATAAATTAGAACTTATATTTTTAGAGAAAATGGACTTTACGTCCAAATCATCGACCAAAGACACGGCGGGCGGGAGCTCGGAGACCGCCTCCACCGGCTATTTTGCTGGTATAAACAACTTTATAATGTTAAAATGGTTCTTAAGAAACTGAAATGAATGCCGAGCAGGAAAATTTTCTATACGAGCTGGAGACTACGGATTCGGGGAGCCTGGGGATTGTTTTGAGGTACAAAAACCAGAGTACTCAACGAATGTGACATTTAGAGCTATTTATGATTGCGGGGATGTTAAGAAATTTTCTCGAGCCCTCGATCATCGTATCCATATTTATGATCGGAGTATACAAAATGTAACATCAAAAATCAGCGCTTTGAAATTCACGGTTTAGGTGTGTTCTCATCACTACCAAAACTTTGTGACTGCTATGCGAAAAATGATGACACTTCAGGAGAAGAGTGCAGAAATTAAAGTAAGTTTAGTAAAATTAGCAAAATAATACCTACCAAAACACAGAATGATTTTGCGCAAATTGACTGCAAAATCCAAGAGGCCAGCAAGGATTTGGCAGAAAAGAGTGCGACTGTCGTGAAATATCGGAAGTTGACAAAGGTGGGAGTAAAATTATTGAAATATCCAGTAATTTTGCTTGCAGAATGCTTCAACGGCTATTGATCAGATTTCCCTTTGCCTACCAGCATTGGAAAACTACGCCAAACTGCAGGGGCTGATGGAGCAGAAAAAGTTGGTTTGCAAGAAGAGACTTAGTATTTTGTAGATATTACCAAGCCCTGAAAGTGCTCGAGGAATTGGAGCACACCCACCTGGCACTAGTGGAAAAGTATCGATTCACACAGCTTTTCGCCAAAAGCTTGGCCCCGATCCGGGAGCAGATCAAGCAGAAGGCGTACAGCGAATTCAAAGACTTTCTCGAAAATATTAAGAAGGTGGCGAAGAGGATCGGAAGGCATGCTAGTCAATGTGTAAGTTGCAGCAGGACAAACGGCTCCAAAAAGAATTCAGACCTCGGAGCAGCACTCCTTTGGGACCACAGATGCCGAACGTACCAAGCTTTTGCAGGAAGATACCAAGAAGAAATCGGCAGATTATCAGGTGAGCTAAAATCGAACAGCATTATATTTGGAGTTGATGAAATAATATATGACTTTTTCAGGTTATCGTATCGGCAGATGGTAGCTTGGTCAAAAGGAAGGTAGAAAAATCTGGAAAAGCGACAAAGTCTGAACAAGCAGAGGTATTGGAGAACAGCAGTGTCTTGATTCTGATCAATTCTCAGGAAGACGAAAAGCTCTCCGCTCAAGATTTGATCGATTTTACCCCCGTGCATCGCTGTTGCCAGATTTTTAACGTCCTGGGAGCAAAGGAGGAGTTCGAAAAGTGAGTCAGAAATTTTTGCGGTTTACAGATTTTTCTAGCTTCCATAAAATACCGAACATTCCAGATACTACCGCGAGCAAAGAACCGAACAATGCAAGCTCGTCAGTCAGCAGGCTACCAAGGTATGTAGCGGGCTCTTAAAAACAAGAACTTTTAGAAAACAACCTTGCGCCATTACGTCGATTACCTAGACGAAATCATTGGCTTTTTCGTTGTGGAAGACCGGATTCTGGATACGGAGCCTTCTCTAGGAACCTCTGCTCATAAAGAGGCTCTTTGGGAGGATTCACTGAAGAAAGTAATCGCCACAATGAACACCGATTTCGTAAGTATTCCTGCTTCAAAATCAGCATTTCAGTTATAAATCTTCATTACTACTCTTTCAGGGAATGTCGCTCGATGTCGAGATGATGTTGCGCATGAAGAAGGTTATTCTTCTCTTTGCCCTGACTATGAAGTCTTATGGCTACACCATTGGGCCGCTATACAGTTTGCTGCAGAATTTCCGGTAGCGCAGCATCACAAATTTTCGGTTAATTTTTAATTTAGCGATCAGTACAGTGCCGTACTTCTTAAGACCTATCAGGATCAATTCAATCGCGATTTGGACATGGACAACTACAGGTTGAGAAGTGTAGCATTTTGAAGGATCGATTTTTAGCCCTATCTTGGTGAACGATAGAGACGAATTTAAGCAAATCATCCGGCAATTTCCGTTTTATCGAAAGAGCATGGAACAGGTTGGCCTGAAAACAAAAATTGCAAAGAAAATTTAGGAGCCTTTCCCGAGAAAATTCCCATTTTCTCGGTTTGTCATTTCAACATATGGCCATGTAAGTTCTACGACTCTGCTCAATTTCGTAAAAATTCAGGCCAAATCGTACCTCAACGCCATTTTCAAATTCATGGAGCACCTCCAGCTGAAACACTCGGAGATTGACGACACGATGAGACGGTAGGTCGTAAGCCAAGAAGCCGATGCCGAGCGATTCCAGCCATGCGAACATCCTCATCAAGCGCTGGAGCGAGATCCTGAAGCAGTACGTGTCGGTGAAGCGGAATTTGGTCCAGGTGTAACTGATATTTTTGTGTTATACGTTACCCTTCAGCTAATCCAAATCACCATCAACATTGGGTACCTGGAAAAGGGATGTGAGAGCCTCGGGAGCTTCATCACGAAACTGGCTAGTGGTGGGGATTCTGCGATGACAGCCGGGTATCAGGTAGCTTTAAATGGACTCATAATCCCTAAAAATGACCAGCTTGAAAGTTCCATGTCCCCTTCAGGTGCCCCTCTTCGAAGGAGACTTTCGAGATGCCCGTTCCGAAGTTGAGCAGAGTATTGAAATCAGTTTGGCGCGAAAAGTGGACGATCTATTGGAGCCGGGTGAGTCGGAAGTAATGATATACAAAAACAAATGTTTTACAGCTTGTTACGATTGGGAATTGCCCTCATCCTCCGGCCACGCTTCCGATTTCATTCAATCCACAATCGCTTTTCTGTCGACCACCTTCATCTCGTTTTCCGAGATTCCAGGAGCCCTAGCACGACATGTCTGCACACAGGTAATTTTAGGAATACAAAAATCAACAATTTGGTTTTTCAGACTTGTAAACACATAGCACAACGACTTTCCGGGATGCTACTATCCCCTGACGTTAAGGCGCTGAGTCCAGGTATATTCTACGCCACTTACAACCCTATTCAGGGACGTAGCGTAATACCGGCCCCGGGGGCCCGGGCCCCCCCCCCCGAAATCGGCCGCGGCCCGGAAATTTCATAAGGGGGGACCCTTATGATTTTTATTTTCTCAAAAATTTTGCTGCCTGCGGCGCTTTTTTCACTTTTTTACGGCTATTTGTAGAGCTATGTAACCTTTTTTCAAAAAATTTTGCCTGCGGCGCTGTTTTCTCGTTAATGTTTTGAGTTTTTTGGAAAAAATTTTTGGGGGCCCCCCCCCCGAAATTTTTTTCTGGCTACGCCCCTGACCCTATTCAACGCTTTTTCAGGCGCCCTCGAACAGTTCTCCCTCGACGTCATGCAATGTGAACTGTTTGCCGCTACGCAAAATAACATTTCCGGGCTTGACAGTACCACCTTGCCACTAACTTTTGCGCACCTACGGTAAGTACTTTTCCGTAATTTTTAAAGGGAGGTTTAGACAACTCCTCGAGCTCGTCACCCAATCCGATTGGACGACGTACATTGCTGAAATCGGCAAAAGTGACGCGAAATATAATCGGGTCCAACCTTCAGCTGCCGTGCTGATCATGGAAAAGTACGGATCTGTTATTTGTTTAGACGTTTTTTGAACATTAGGCAGTTTAAAATTTTTTTTTTTAGAATGATCGAGTTCGAGAAGAAGAGCGCTGGCTTTTTCGCCGTCAACAAGGGAGACAGAAGAAAGCTGTACGACACAATCCTAAAACAATTGCGGGCTATCGCTTCCGGTCATTGAAAAACGCTGTGATTTTATGTCTTGATTATCTATAATAGATGATAAATATGAGCTTGTGCTAGTTAAAACACCTTGACATTGCCCAGGAATTTATATAGGTATAGAACTAGAAACACTACAACACACAGTTGAAATCAACGCCCATTAAACCCAAATGGAACCGATACTAGAACCTCTTTTTGTGCCAAAATCCATTCAATCATGATTTTGATGATCTTGCCGTGTGGGTCGGGGCAATTATCAAACCCATCCATAACCTCTCCCCGCATATCATTCACACAAATCACAACTCGCCAACCCGTTTTCACCCCAAATTTTGTACTTTTTTGACTGGTCACAGAATCTCGTCGGTTATGCAAATCATCTGCACGCGGGGTTTGCCCTAGTTTTTGAGGCGTCCTGAAGCATGACCGCTTGCAATTTATGCAAAGCAGTGGAGTGTAGCGTGGAATTCGCTAGCATGAAGTATGGGGAGCTAGCAGGAGTTATTAGGGAAACTCGCAACTTATTTTGAAGTGGAAATATTTGAGGTCTTACCTACAACAAAATTTCCGCAGAAAATGATGTTAAAATTTCTGTATCGAATCCAAATAACCAATGGTTCGTGACTTGGGAAAGCTTATGTACACGCCTGAACGCTGCAAAACTACCGTACTCCCGCGAAAATAATTATGTGATCGGAGCAAAAAGTTGTTCCGGGAAAACAAACCCAGAAATACCAACCTTGCCCAATCAAGATCAGACTGTGCGATTTTATGCGGTCGCGCGCAAAATTGCACAACTTTCGGGGGGGAAACGACCCCTACGAGAGAAACCGATCACCATAATCCGTCAACGGCCATATAAAGAGAGTCGGGCGATGTGACAAGAATTTATTTTTCAACCGTCGATCCAGTCCCTGGGTTGAACCTAAGTTTGATTTTGAGATCACTACCTGACAGTCATTGAAAATGGTCGCCAACGACACGAAGGAGGTCAAGGAGGGCTCGATTGCTGGGAGTTTGATCACATGGCAAATGCTGGAGGTAAGGGATTGTAAAAATCAACGATAAATTTTTAGAAGAATTCAAAGAATTTTTGAAGTTTTGTATTTTTAGCAAGACATGCAAAAAGCATTCGGGACCACCGCAATCACCGGCCCGAAGCGAGATGGGAACATGATGGCTGCTGGAAATGTAAGATTTTTAGATACCTCATTAACCATTACTACATCGTATTGTTTTTTTTGCTTAATTTTATCGAATTCCAAGATTGCTATATATTAAAAATTTTTAGGGCTTTCTGTCCAATATTGCCCTCGTGAAATTCGACTGGAGCCACGATACGGATATCCTACCGGAGAGAGCCGTTTTAAAGGTAGATTAACAGCTTATATAATTTGATGTGACCAATTATTAGTTTGCTAGACCCAGTTAAGTTAAATCCAAGCGCTCTTTAGATCACCGCCTGCGAGAAGCTCTACGACATGGCCCAGGACCTCCCCAACTTCAAGCCCGACGAAGTCTGGGGAAATTGCAAGGCTGTGAGTTTTTGGCTATCCGAACGTTTCGGGCTTTAATAGATTACCGTAGATATATTGATTTCTTAATTCATTCTTACCTGAATTTTTATTCTATAGGTCAACGACAACGAGCTGAGCTTCTACCAAAACTGCGAGAAAGTGTGGAAGATGCCCAAAGAGCTGATGGTGGCCAAGTTCTATTGTGGGCGTGAGTTTGGACTTGATGGCGTTGATGCCGGTAATTTTAATGTAAAGGCTATACCTACGTTTTCTCAGGATACTTCGCTATTGAGTTCTTCGACAAAGCCGAAAGCCGCCACTTCTACAATAACGTGCAGGAGTCGTCGGTGAAGGAGATTTTGGATCAATTGGTGCTGATCAACACGCACTGTAAGACTTTTCCAAGTAGTTTTTTGCCATTTTAAAGGCACAAACAAAGCTGTTACAGCTCCAAATGTAAATTTTTCAGCACTAAAACACCCGGAACTGTTTGAAAACTACACCAACGAGCACTACATCAATATGATGTCCTCATTCTGCACTGAAGAGGTAAGATATCGCTTAACATCCCAGCCGTATAATTTTTAGTCCGTCACCAAATCCATCGAAGAATGCTTGGAGAAACACCCGGACCTTGAGCAGGAGCTCTTGGCGATGCAGAAGATGGCCAAATATTTTGAGACTTTCACGAATTTTGATGCTAAAATGGCCGAGAGCTGTAAGTTTCGCCAGCCGTATACTTAATTCCATCACAATACTATTTTCGAGAGCGGGTTTTAGGCAACAACATGCGCATGTTCTGCCACGGTGACATGTGGCTGGGGAATATGTTGTGGCAAAAAGATGCCAGGGGAGATTACCGTATGAAGCGCCTTATCGATTGGCAGGTAGCTTTTCAAAGCTTTTTAGAAGCTATTTAGGGATCTAAAATTCATGGCTTGGAACGAAAATAGAATCTTTTAGCTACACCGTTGGGGCACCCCGATGGAAGATCTGGCTCGACTGCTAACAAGCGCTTTTTCGGCTGATGAATATCAAAACCGGTCAGGCTGCCTAACTCGCTTCAAGTATCATTTTTAGCAAACAAATATACCTTCAATACTACTATGACGCGTTTCTAAAGCAGATGAACGGTGGTCCCATGCCCTGGAAATCCTATCAAGACGTTTGTTCGATTTTTCTGAGCCCATTTTTTCCCTTTAGTTCGAGGAAAACTATGAGAGAGGTTTCGCTCTGTGCTCGACCGCCTTCGGACCCGTTTTCTTGTGCATGACTCATAAGATTTTGGACACGATTAAGGATGGTATGGAATTGGACATACATTCCTACATTTGATTTTGTGATACCCAAAATGGGTTTTCAGAGAAAGACAAAATCGACGGGCCTCAGAATTACAAGGACAAGGTCTACAATATGGTCAGGGAGGCGGCGAGATTAGCAAAGAAGTGGAATATGTAAATTATGTTAAAAATGGTATCATTGAATAAAGAACTACGCTTTAGGCCTATCTTATTACGCTGCCTGGTTCCTTTATCAGGGTTTTATTCGAAACTCTTTAAAGTTTTTGCGTTTCCAAGTATTTTTCGTGGGATCTAATTTTTAAAATATAAACAGTGGAATTTTTCTAAACATTTTTTACTATGCCTAAAGATAAAAACTGTAGACAAAAATGACCGGTTTTTCAGGAAGATTTCCACTTTTTTAGAAATGTTCAGATTGTTTTTTTAGTTGAAATATAGTTATATTCTACCAAAAATCCTTGCTGTTAACAATAAGTTACTAGACATTTCTAGGCTTGCATAGAAAGGTCGCTCCCCCCGTAATGCGAAAGAACAAAAAATGAGAGTTACGCGAAAAATTGACCTCTAACCTCACCGATAAAAAAATATTCCCTAAAGACTTCGCAGTTTTTTTGCGGAGCGCCACGGAACGAACGGATTTGCAGCCTCTGTAAGGCTCTCTCTGCCCTTCTGTCTGTGCTCTCCAAAAGAACCCCCGCTGCCTCGCCATCCCCCCGTTCCATCAGCTGACACCCCGAGCACTTCGCCTTTTTTGGCCTCCACCCCCGGAGCTCCGACTCTTTTTCCCCTTCCACTGGCCGGCCCGAGAAGCTTCAGATAGGCTCCGTCACATGGCCCGGCAATGCCGAGACATCGGCCTCATGTGACTAGTGACTCGTTTCCTTTTTCCGATCTGTAAATTGCTGGCATTCTTTGTCTCGTTTTGGACCGGGAAATGATCTTTGGGGAGGCGAGATCATGACTCAAGCCAAGTTTTGAGAGATAGGCTGGTGTTATGGCCCTTACTTGGAAATTTCGTGAGTTAAAGTGTAATCGGCTGGTCTGTACTACTTATAATTAAACCCGGGCCACGGTGTGGCTGATAAAAGACGGTCAACAACGGACTATCCATAGTGGTTCGGCTTTGAAAAGGTAAAATTGCATCAGTTCTTCCCTTTCTTACGTCAGGTTGACTCCATTGTTTATCTAGCGACGCGGCTCCGGCTTTAGTATGCAAAGCCGACTCCAGTTGCTGTTTGGCCAGGTGTTCGCAACGATTTTTCTACTCCCATGCTCAATTTTTGAGCAAAAACGTTGTAATTGCTGGTTTCGGCATTCTAATAAATCCCAAATCGTCGTCAGTCGCCACTCGCAACAAAATGTCTCCAAAAAATTCATTAGCCCTCACGGTTTTTGGGCGAAATTGGACTAGCCATGGCGGTTTCTTTCAGGGGGACTAATCCCTTTTGGTCCTTTCGTCAAATTAAATTTGGGCCAGAGAAATGCTTCTTTTTCGAGAAGTACTTCTTATTTAGAAACTCTGAGCCTTCTATATGATCGAGCTAAAAGCTTGAGTTGGCCCTCTCCGGGCCTTGTAGTCAACAAATGACACATAATCCGCGCTGTCTTGCATCAGTTTTTCAACCAAGGTTCTCAGAACTTTTATGTTCACATATCGATCACTAACTACAGGGCCCAACATCCCCAAAATGACCCGAATTGATTAGGTCCCTGCTGGGAAAGCCGATCGTGTGACCAGCGGGGGAAGGCTCTAGAGCCGGGGAATGGCCTTGAGATGGGGCACACACACGTGTGTCAGCGCCCCCTTGCTCTCCATCACTGAACCTCCACCCTCTTGCTCTTTTCACCTCTCGTCCGCCCTCTCTGCTCCCCTCCTCGGTTAGGTGTTCTTTCGAGACCCTGCTGACCCCCAACCGACCGTCCACACTATTTCCCAACTGCGGTGCTTTATGGCGACCGGGGCGGGGTGAAGCCCCGTTCAAATGTGGGGCAACACCCCTGCACCTCATTTAGCTTATGGCCTGCGTATTTTAGGGAATTTCCGATGTTCCACATGCATTCACAGATTCGGGGATAAGCCGTCGCTTATGTCACACTTTTTGCAGAGGTTTCGCTCTCGGAATATTAATTCCACGTTTCGACTGTCGTCTCGCGAAATGCCGAATTATTTTTGAAAAGACGTGTTGTAGCTTCTA